TCAATTATTGAATTTTAATTCATTTTGAATTGAAATTTTGGGTAATAATTGAATTTTAGTTGACTTTGAATTGAAATTCTTGAAAATAATTGAACTTTATTTGATTTTGAATTAAAAATTTTAGGTAATTTTATTTGGTATTTTTTTAAAATTATAAACAATTGTTAAATTTCATAAAAATTTTAATTGAAAAATAATTTGAAATAATTGAATTTGTGATGAATTTTATTAAAATTATTAAAAATAATTAATTTAGTGAAGAATTTTAGTTAAAAATTTTTTAAATAACACAGGCCTGCATGGTTTTTTTATTTTTGATATTGAAGTCGTTCCCTATGTAATTTTAAGCGCTGAACACGATCCCGTGTCCCAAAATGGCCCAGCACGTCAGAATTTTGAGAAAAGTGGGGGTAAAGAGCCTAAACAACGTGTTTTTGAGTGTTTTCTAGAATTTTTTTCTCCTTAACCTGACGTGCTAGAAACTTCTACTAGGTCTTAAATTAAAGCTTAAAGCGTGCACTTTAAGACCCATATGCGCAAGTAAAAAAAACTTAAGGGATTTTGAGAAAAGTGGGGGGATGAAGTCTCTATCACGTTAGGTTAAGGAGAGGAATATTAAAAAAAAAACCTAAAAAAGCGTTTTTTTATTTTTTTACCCCCACTTTTCTCAAAATCCTGTCGTTCTAAGCTATTTTGGAACCCGGGATCGTGTTCAGCGCACAAAAATACATAAAAAAACCACTGCGATATAAAGTATGTAAAAAAAATTTTTTGGGGCTCTTTCCCCCCACTTTTCTCAAAATCCCTTAAGTTTTTTTTACTTGCGCATATGGGTCTTAAAGTGCACTCTTTAAGCTTTAATTTAAGACCTAGTAGAAGTTTCTAGCACGTCAGGTTAAGGAGAAAAAAATTCTTGAAAACACCCAAAAACACTGTTTTTGGGCTCTTTACCCCCACTTTTCTCAAAATCCTGACGTGCTGGGCCATTTTGGGACACGGGATTGTGTTCAGCGCACAAAATTACATAGGAAACGACTTCAATATCAAGAATAAAAAAAAAAGTCGAATTTTGCAGGCCTGTGTAATTGAAATAAAGAAAATCTGAAGAAGATCTGCATTTTATACTAAAAAAATATATATTTTATTTAAAAATTTGTTTAAAAAATGTAAAAAAAAGTCGAAATAGTCACATTTTATTAAAATAAGTCGAAAAAAGTCGAAAATAGTCGAAAAAGTCGTATAATCCGAGGCCTGATTTATGAAAATTTGGAAAAAAAACTCGATTCTATTATTGATTGCGATTAAATAAAATTTTTAATGGCTCGATTTATGATTGGTAATTAAAGTGTGATGTATAAGGATAAAAATAAGCGGTCATTTAACAAAATCGGTTGAAAAATATAGAAATTATAAGCATTTTAGAAAAAAATGCAGAAATTGAATTTTTCACATTTTTATGATTAACCTGATTTTATTGAATATAGTGTTAATTTAAAATCTTTTAACATATTAAAAGTGACTTATGGATGATTTTGTTTTTCTTTTATGTTGAGTAGTAGTTTCTCTAATGAGAAAGTCACCCATCATCGCTTCATCCCAAAATCCCTGTTACCGATCTTCCATGCTTTTGAGTTATTGGTGAAAACGTTCATCATTTCGTGTAATTTAGAAGACTTTGCTTTTCATTCGTCGTTTCAGAGTTTTAGTGTTGCTTCTTGAAAGTGTTTTTTCATGTCTTGGGGTTCGATGGTTGCCGATTCGTCTACAGTTGGAAGTATGCATGGAAAAAAATAGTTCGCGAAACTTTCGTAAACTAGTTTTTCACTTTTGGACGGTCCCAAAGTTTGAAAATCTTTCATTAACTTTTTCCAAGATTTCACGAACGTTCATCACTCTCTTCATATGACGATCAATGTCTGCGCACGCGCACAAAAAAAGTTTGTGGAATATTGAAAAAAGTTAATGAAAGATTTCCAAACTTTGGGCCCGTCCAAAAGTGAACAACTAATTTACGAAAGTTTCACGAACTAATTTTTTTCCCTATGCGCACAGGCGGTTTTTGCAAGGGACTTTGCTCTGTCGTTTTCTGATATGTCGACGTGGGATGGAATCCAGATTATATAATAATTCTTTTTTCATGATGAATAACATTGAAATTGTTTTAATAAATTACATAAGGAATAAAAACACTTCTAAATAAATATAAAATTTGCAAACAAATTTAATAGTTTTTACAAGTAAATTTATGTTTATTTTGTTAATTAAAATTTTTATTAAAAACTAACTAACTAAAATTAAAAACTAGTTTGTGACTCTTTGTAGATTGGCGTAGGATAAATTAATAAAACTCACAATAGTCACTGAAATTCATAATTTATTTTACTTGTTTCTTTATAATTATAATTTCACAATAGCAGCCAAAAACTTTTATATATATTTTTTATTTTTATGTCGAAAGAAAGTCAATTGTTAATTATTATATAAAATTCAATCAATCCACATGAAATAAACTCTATATTACATTAATTATTATTATTTACAAATTGTAAATTGCTAAGCAACAACGGAAAGTATTAGAGATTTTGAAATGAAGCGATGAAAAAAAAATCAAAATTTAATAAACACCCGATAACGCAATCGTTAATCGTTTTGAGAAAGGTTAAATTAATTTTGATTTTTCATACCTTTCCGACATCAAATTTGGAATAAAACTTATGGATTCTGACCCATTTTTTTATGCTCTTTCGATTGGTAATGATTAAAATTAGAACAAACTTTAATAAGCACCCGTTAACGCGAACGTTAACGTTTGAGAAGCCATAACTTCTTCAATATTTTGATTTTTAATATCTTTCCGACATCAAATTTGGAATAAAACTCATGGATTCTGACACATTTTTTTTGCTCTTTCAATTGGGAATGATTAAAAATTGAACAAACTTTAATAAGCGCCCGATAACGCGATCGTTAACATTTAAGAAAGGTTAAATTAATTTTGATTTTTCATATCTTTCCGACATCAAATTTGGAATAAAACTCATGGATTCTGACACATTTTTTTATGCTCTTTCGATTGGTAATGATTAAAATTTAACCAAACTTTAATAAATTGGTTTTTGTAACCGTTAAACAATTAACGTTACGTAGATTTTTGCAATTTTTTATTTTTTTCCGCTAATAGCACATAATATACGTCACAATTTTAAATCTGAGCCAAAAATATTCATTTTTCAAAAAGTTATGGCAATTTTCATTTTCTCTCATATCCTTCTTTATTATATTAAGTTCAAGAACGACGACCGACACCGACCGACAGCAAAACAAAATTTTTTATTTTCTTTAATAAATTAGGTATTTACAGTTTTCCTTCAAATTTTTAATTCACATGCCTAACATACATGTGTATTCAAAAAAAATGCCAAAATTTTTTTTTTTGCGCGATTTTTTGCAAAAAATAATTTTTTCCATAGTGAAAAATGTGAAAAAACGACGATATCTTAAAAAATGTTCCACTTTCTTAATTTTAGACTTCATTTTTGGATTCAGGGGATCATTTTACATGAAAAATGAGGGTTAAAAGTCTTGGATCAAAATTATTTTTTAAATTTTGTAAACTAGTATTATTGTTGTTTTAGGTTATGTTAGATTAGACTTCAGAATTTAAAATAATATCTAATATTGTTTGCCCTCAATTTCAATCGGATCAAGAGAGACATAAATATCTCGTTACAAAGACACTTTTTTCTCTCTCTCTCTTTCTCTCTCTCTTATTCTCATTTACACACCTTTTTATATTCAATCGTTTATTTTTAACATTTAAAAAAAAAAAATTTTCCTTCCCCCTTTTGTGTTCTAAAGAAGTATCAGTCACATAACCTCAAAATAAAATTCAAGAAAAGATTTCTATATCTACATTTCGAAAAAATAAAATTCTTTACAAATTATTTATTCGCGAAAAATATATTCCCGAAGGGACCGCGTTTGTAAGGTGTCAGGGAGTAGACAGTCAAGTGGAGAATTGTACAGTCAATATCAAAAGCAAATGATTAAAGTGACACAGATTTGCAAAAAAGAATGAAAAGTATTTTCACAACAAAAAAAAAAAAAGCGGGAAAAGAATAATTTCAAAATGGTGGGGGAAGGGGCAATATTAAATTAAAATAGAAAAAAAAGTTATTAAATAAAAAAAGGAAATTAAAAATAAACGTTAAAAAAGAAGATTATTGAATGCGGTCAGTGAACTAGTTCCGTTTCGACCCTGACACTGCCATTGCCCCTTTGGTGTCGTGCGGGGCCGATTCGGACCGATTTATCTGTCACACACAAAAGAGGAACTAACTATCTCATTCTCTCTCTCTATCTCTTTCTTTCTTTCTCTCTCACAACAATATTGCTGGTTTTTGTAAATATCACAGGATTTACTTACCCCTGTCACTGGAGTCCATATTTCAAAAGGCAGTTTTCAATTGTCACGTGACTCGTAAAAATTTCCAATGAAAAAATTTTTTTTTCTTTTTTTTTCCCCGCGACAACACACGCGAAAATTTTTTTTCAAATACACAACCATATAATAATTACGTTGGTTAGAAGCGGCGGCTTATAATGCGCTCCTTCACGTTATAAACATGGCCGGTCGGTGCCCATTCTATACATATACTCACAGAAGAGAGCAGGTTGTCACACTCTTAGTACTATGGTGGGGTTCGTTGAACTTTTTGGAAAATATAATTTTTTAATAATTTTCATTTATTAAACAACAAATACACTTGTCACATACACATATAAAGCAACAATTCACATTAAATAGAAAAGTCAAAAAAAGGAGAGTTTTTTAATGTTCAAAAATTTTTCAATCAGATTTCGCCGTGCTCCAGATAAATATATCGAGATTATTTTGACTAGTACGTATTATAGTTCTCAACCTACTCAACGAGGGCAGCACTTATCAGTGAGCGACAACTCTCTCTCCTGCCTTAATCTTCATATTTTTCCTATATATATATATATATATATATATATATATATATCCAAACTGTCAAAGCAGACGACATTTTAAAGAAAATTTATAATTGATTATTGAAAATATATGTTTAAAATCATGTAAATTTTTTTTGATAAATTGGTAATATTTTTGTGTCTTTTTAACAGTGATAATTTAATGATTTTTTTCTTTTTATACTCTTAAGTTAGTTTAAAAAATGAGTGGATTTTGTTATTTTAGGTTATGTACGAATTCTGTGATTTTAAATAATTCTTTTTTTTGAATTAAACTCGAATTCGAAATGTTTAGAAAATTATCCAATGAATTTGGAATATTTGAAATTATTTCAAGGTAAGTAGTAATTGTAATGTCGTGAAAATTATTTATTTATAATTCCGTAAATTAAATTCTAACCTCTTATACATTTTAGAAATTATAATTTTTATGAAGCAATTTTTGTTCTTTTTAACTGTAATTTTTGATAAATAGATAGAACTATTTAAATTTAATGGAATTTTAAATACAATGAGAAAAAAATATAATAAATAGTTGAAATTGTTAGTATATATAAATAGAAAGAATGAAAAAGTAGCTGTGAAAAAATATAATTTTTGTATTTATAAAAACAATTATTATATAATAATAAAATGCTTGGTCTGTCCTTCTGTCCTAACTTGAAGTTGGCCTTTTCTGATTTCACGTGTTTTTTTAAATAGTAATCTTATGACGTGTCAAATTTTGACAATTCTTTTTCTCATTTTTGCCAAAGTTGTATAATTGTGTTTCCAAATTTCGGAATAAGTTTCTTTAAAATTCCAAATTTGAAAATTCAATTCACGAAGCTGAAGTACACAACGTTTACCAACGAAATTTTTTTTAAAGTTGTATATTCATTCAAAAATTCTATACAAATACAAAAAATTTATGATGAGAAAAAAGATGCGCCAGGAAATTTCGTACAAGATAGTAATTTGAAAAAAATTTATTTTTAAGGTACCAGGGGCCAACAAATACCTATTAAATATTAATTATAAAAACACAGGCCTCGAATCAATTTAAAGACATAAAAAAGTCGTTTTAGTCGATTTATACTCCAAAAAAAGTGGATTTGTTTTTTATTTTAACAAAAATATTTTACAGATTTTTAACTAGTTTTTTTCTAATAATAATCCTTTTCGAAGGGTTAAAGTTGAAATTTTTAGAAATAATTAAATTTCAAAGATATTGTTAATTTTCAAACAATTATTAAATTTTACAGAACTAAAAATAATTTATCAAACAATTTTTGGAAAACATTTTTTAAATTTAATTGAATTTTCAAAGATTTAAAATTGTGATTTTTGAAATTAATTGAAACTTTAAGTGTTTTGTAATTAAAATTTTAGATGATTTCACTAAAAATTTATTAGAAAATGCGGACAAAATACAATAATTTGAAAATAATTTTTAATTGAAAAATGGTTTCAGATAGTTGGAATTTCAAAGAATATTATTAAAATAGTTAAAAATAATTGAATTTCCTTAGAGTTATAATTGAAATTATTAAATTTCAAAAAATTTTCGATTGAAAATTTCAGAAGCTTTTAAATTCAAATTTTTGAAAATAATTGAATTTCAATTGAAATTTTGGACAATAATTTAATTTTAGTTGATTTTTGGTTGAAAATTTTGATAATAATTAATTTTGAATTGTAATTTTGGGTAATAATTGAATTTTAGTTGATTTTGAATTGAAATTTTTGAAAATAATTGAATTTTATTTGATTTTGAATTAAAATTTTTTTGTAATTTTATTTGATTTTTTTTTAAAATTAAAAACAATTGTTAAATTTCATAAAAATTTTAATTGAAAAATAATTTGAAATAATTGAATTTGTGATGAATTTCATTAAAATTATTAAAAATAATTAATTTAGTGAAGAATTTTAGTTAAAAATTTGTTAAATAATTGAAATAAAGAAGATCTGAAGAAGATCTGAATTTTATACTAAAAAAAATATATTTTATTTAAAAATTTGTTTAAAAAATGTAAAAAAAAATCGAAATAGTCGCATTTTATTAAAATAAGTCGAAAAAAGTCGTATTTTTGAAAAAAAAAGTCGAAAATAGTCGAAAAAGTCGTATACTTTGAGGCCTGATTTATGAAAATTTGGAAAAGAAACTAGATTCTATTATTGATTGTGGTTAAATAAAATTTTTAATGGCCCGATTTTTGTAAAACATTTTTTAAATTTAATTGAATTTTCAAAGATTTAAAATTGTGATTTTTGAAATTAATTGAAACTTTAAGTGTTTTGTAATTAAAATTTTAGATGATTTCACTAAAAATTTATTAGAAAATGCGGACAAAATGCGGTTTCAGATAGTTAAATTTTCAAAAAATATTATAAAAATAATTAAATTATCGGAGAGTTATAATTGAAATTATTAAATTTCAAAAATTTTTCGATTGAAAATTTCAGAAGCTTTTAAATTCAAATTTTTGAAAATAATTGAATTTCAATTGAAATTTTGGATAATAATTTAATTTTAGTTGATTTTTGGTTGAAAATTTTGATAATAATTAATTTTGAATTGAAATTTTGGAAAAATTTTTGAATTTTAATTGATTTTGAATTGAAATTTTGGGTAATAATTGAATTTTAGTTGATTTTTGGTTGAAAATTTTGATAATAATTAATTTTGAATTGAAATTTTGGAAAAATTTTTGAATTTTATTTCATTTTAAATAGAAAACTTGGTAAATAATAATTAAATTTTAAATTGAAAATTTTGGATAATTATTGGATTTTTAATTGATTTTGAATTAAAATTTCGGGTAATAATGGAATTTTAGTTTATTTTAAATTGAAATTTTTAAAAAATAATTCAATTTTATTGTGATATTTTGTTTTTTTAAATTATAAACAATTGTTAAATTTCATAAAAATTTTAATTGAAAAATAATTTTGATATAATTGAATTTGTGATGTATTTCATTAAAATTATTAAAAATAATTAATTTAGTGAAAAATCATTTTAGTTCAAAATTTGTTAAATAATTGAATTGAAGAAAATCTGAAGAAGATCTACATTTTATACTAAAAAATGTATTTGATTTACATTTTTTTCAAATGTTTGAAATTCTTTGCTAAATTAATTTTTTTTTAATTACCTACTTTAATACAGTTTTTCAATACTTCAGGGAAATAAAAAGTTTTTTAATTAAAAATCTTACACTAAAATTTTATTATTCTCTAATGTTTGTAAAAAAAATTTAATAATTTAAATTTATGAATGTTTCAATTTAAAATTTTCTGAAATTTAATAACTTCAAAAAAAAAATTTAACTCGAACTCTTTCAAATTCAATTAGTAAGTGAATAATTAATTTCTAATTCATTTGAAAATTTTTTTCTCAAATTTTTTTGTTTAATTAATTATTTCAACAGTTTTAATTCAATTTTTCAAAAATTCAATTCTTTCAATCGTTTTTTTAATTAATGTTTATTTTTACAACAAAATTGTAATTTTTGAAATCTAAAAAAATGCAATTATTTCTAAAAATCTTAACCGAATTAATTCAAATTTATAAAAGTTTCAATTAAAAATCTTCTGAAATTCAAATATTTCTAAAAATTTTAAATCAAACTCTTCTAAATTCAATTATTTCAAAAAAAATTTATTTAAAAATCTTCGGAAATTCAATTATTTCACAAATTTTCATTTAAATTCAGTTTTTTTTCAATTATATTTTAATGAAATTCTTGGAAAATTTAATTATTTAAAACATTTTTCGAAATTTTGAATTCGAATAATTTGCAATAAATCAGACTTGAAAAATTTTCTTTTTTTAAATGTAACTTTAAATTATTTTTGAAAATTTGTTTTGAAACTGAATTGAAATCTTGAAAATTTTTCTCACTTTAATTCGGTGGTTCATAAATAAAAAAAATTTTTTGAAAATATTTCTATGAAACATTCTTATTAAGAAATTAATAAATTTTATTTAATTTCCAATAATAAATTGTTAATAATAATAAAATATTTATCAATTAATTAAATTTATTGAAAATAAAAAATTGATTTTTTAGACTTTTTTTGTATACTGTAAATCGACTGAAATGAAGTTTTTTTTTTCTTTTAAATGTCGATCAGAGGCGTATAATTATAAAAAAGTAAAACAATAATTTTTAGAAGCAAAAGTTTGAATTGAAAATTTCCAAAATTATAATTTTAGTAGCATTTTTGGAAATTTTGATATTTTTCCAGTACTTTTCATAAAATTCCCTGTCTTTTCCTTCTGATTTTTCTTACCTATCTCACTGACTACTTTTATTAATTAATAATAATTGTAGAATAACAATTGTAATTTTTGTCTTTTATTTTTTTTAAAGGTAAATCCACAAAATAGAATGCAAAGGAAGTACAATAAACAATGTACGTGGCATTGAGAGTGATTTTTCATCGTATCCTCCGACTATTGTCAAGAATAAAATTAAAATACATAATTCTACTAATAATAAGTATTGCATTACTCGATGTTTTTGGTGCCTTCACTCACATATTTGAAATCACATATGACGAGAATTTTTCCTATCCCTACGATGGCGATATTCAACCATCGATATTGCTCCTACGTAATAAAGAAAAACCAGAATTATCGCCTATCAACGAGTACAATCAAACATTTATCATCACACCTCAACGTTCATGTAATGATGTTCAATATCAATCATTGCGTGTCGTTTATCTCGTTAAATCGTCCGTCGATCATTTCAATCGACGTGCAGCAATAAGAAGTACCTGGGGTTTAGAAAAACGTTTCTTTGATGTTTCAACGCGAACTGTTTTTCTTCTTGGCATACGGCCAGATGACGAGCAACTTAAAATGAAAATAAAACTCGAATCACAAAAATTTCAAGACATCATTCAAGCTGATTTCATTGATTCGTATTTTAATAATACAATAAAAACAATGATTGGCTTTAAATGGGCCGTTGAACAATGTTCAATGTCAAAATTTTATATGTTCATTGATGACGATATGTATGTATCAGTGAAAAATGTTCTTCGATTTGTGAGAAATCCAACAAATTATCCTGATTATAGAAAAGAAACCCGTCGATTTGGTGTTGAGAGAAAGAGGGAAATTCGTGAATTAGAAACATCGGACGATATGTTTTTGAATATTCAACGTGAGAGAAGAACAACTGTAATTGATGATATTGAATTAAATAAAACGAAAATAGTGAATTCGACAGAATTTGAAAATATAAATAATAAATCATTGATGAATGATAGTCGAGAATTGAAAAATTATACAATTATTTCTGAAAGAAGAAAACGACAAGTTTTTGATTTTGAATTACCTGATGATGTGAGATTGTACGCTGGTTTTGTTTTTATTTCATCGCCACATCGACATAGAACATCAAAATGGTATGTTTCACTTGAAGAATATCCCTATCATCTTTGGCCACCTTATGTAACTGCCGGTTCATATATTCTTTCGAGGGAAGCACTAATCGATATGTATTACACGAGTTTTTATACAAAACATTTTCGATTTGATGATATTTATTTGGGTTTTGTTGCAAAGAAAGCGGAAATTCAACCATTTCATTGTGGTGAATTTCATTTTTATAAAAAAGATTATAATAAATATAATTACAAATATGTTATCACGTCGCATGGTTATGAGAATCCAGATGAATTATTACAAATTTGGAATGAACAAAAAGCTTTAGGAAATGCCTAAAATTTTCAATTTCAGGGTGTCTTAACGGTCAGGGAAATCAGGAAATTTCTTTAATTTTCTCGAATTTTTTTTTATGAATAAATTAAAGTCTATCACATTCAGGAAATACTAGATTAAATTTTAAAAAAGCAGATCAAAATTGTTATTAAAACTGACTTAACAGTTTTATTTCATAAATTAAATTAACTATTAGTTTCAAAATTTTTTTTTTCTTTTCTCCCAAAGCAAATGCAAATTAAAAAGTTGGCCTTCACACTCAATTATTAAGCATTTATATATTCATTAAGTAAATAATTATTTACTACTATTTATTGAATCTAATAAATGATTTTTTAAACTTGAATAACAATTAATTAATTTTTTTTCAGTTAAATATTTGGTTTTTTAATATAAATAAAAATTATTCGATACCATTTTATTTTATCGGTTCAACTGGAAATAAAGTAAATTATTCATTAATACGAATAATTTATTATTTAATGCTAATACCCACACATTTAAATTATAAAAATTTTTACAGCGTCGAATTTTAAATTATCGAATTTCTATTTAGCAAAATTGTATATAAAGTGGATTTTATATTATGCAAAATTTTTAATTTACATTTAACTAAAATTCGATTTAAAAGAATTTCTATTTAGCAGAACTCTTATAGAGCATTTTTTCTAATACTTTTTTAAAATTTTAAATTAATATAATTTCAATTTAACGAAATCTATGTCTAGAAAAATTGACAAAAAAAGAACTAAGTAGAATTTTTCTTAAGGCCAGGTCCAAGTGAGGCAGCGCCATCTACATTGAAACTAAACTTTTGGAAAATTTTCAACATCCTTTTCTTGAAAACAAGAAGGTAAAATGCTTTTTCCTTTATGGATAATTTATTATTGGCAAGATATACACCAGCTAAAACTTTTTTTGAGTTAAAATAATAAAAAAAATTTCATGTCAATAAATTAAATATGAGCACTTTTTCTCACAAAAACTGTAACAGTACTTTCTCAGAAATTACAATCAAAAATGCAATTTCCATTTGGAAAATTAATAAACGCTAAAAAATACACGACCTAAGATTTACCAATCACGAAAATAACAAAAAAAATTTTATTAAATATTTAACATATTGATACTGCTTTACTGATTGTGACAGCCCTTTGGTAGATTATGTATTTCAGGTGGTTAGCAACAGCGCCAATCTCCTCCTTTCGGCAAAACTGCGAAACGTCTGGTGACATATATAACCTGCCAAACAGCTGTCATAATGAGTAAAATATGTTATTTTAAAATACTTTTTTTTCTTATTTTCGTGATTGGTAAATCTTAGGTCGTGTATTTTTTAGCGTTTATTAATTTTCCAAATGGAAATTGCATTTTTGATTGTAATTTCTGAGAATGTACTGTTACAGTTTTTGTGAAAAAAGTGCTCATATTTAATTTATTGACATGAAATTTTTTTTATTATTTTAACTCAAAAAAAGTTTTAGCCGGTGTATATCTTGCCAATAATCAATTATCCATAAAGGAAAAAGCATTTTACCATCTTGTTTTCAAGAAAAGGCTGTTGAAAATTTTCCAAAATTTTAGTTTCAATGTAGATGGCGCTGCCTCACTTGGACCTGGCCTTAAATGAAAATTCTGTTAAATAAGAATTAGTTCGAATTAAAAATTTTCTTTAAAACTTTGTTAATTAAGAATTTTTGTTAAACAGAAATTCTGTTAATTGTGAATTTATTCAATGACAATTCTGTTAGGTAAATATTTTGATAAATTGAAATTTACTAAAATAACAATTCTGTTGAAAAAATTTTTCTTTATGCAATTTTTCTTGACATATATTCCGTTAAATTGAAATTGTATTAATTTGAAATTCAATGTACTGGAAAATCAGCTTTATATAATTTTACTAAATAAAAATTTGATAATTTAAGATTTGACGCCGTAAAAATTCCTTTAAATCAAATAATGAGAATATTTATACGTCCGCAATTAATTAATTTATTTCACTTAAATATTTTATTTTTTACGAAACATTATTTATTTGGTTCAAATACATATGAAATTAGTGGATAATAGACAGATAAATGATTTAATTATATCATAATAAATTTTATTTGATCAAAATAAAATTCTTTTAGTGTAATTTAGGTCAGAGAAAAGTCAGGAAATTTTTTTCTTATCAGTTATTAGACACTCTGAATTTTGAATTTTTTTCGTGCAAACAAAAACAAATACCATATCACTGTATCCTTTTTCAACAAAATTTTATAAATATAAATATAGATATAAATAATAGAGGTTCATAAACAATTTTCAAAAAATCAAATGTATTTTAACAATTTTAAGGACCAAATATATTAGATTTTTCAATGATGACATTTAATTTTCTAATATTTAGAAAGCAGTGAAGAAGCAAAAAATTTGTAATTTATTAATAGGGTTGTCACAAATATTTTATTTTCATTGATTTTCAGGTAGAATTTTGCCTTTTCAGATAATTTTGAGGAAACAATTGTTTTTAAAGTTTGAAATAAATTTTTTAAAGAATTTTAAATATTTCGATTTAAATTAAAATTGATTAGAAACACAGAAAAAAAATATATTTGTAAATACCTTCAATTGTGACTGTAAAATTTTCTTTTTCAATTAAAATTCTTGAAAAATTCCAAAATTTTTGAAAATTTTCTTTTCAATACAATTTTACAAAATTCGGAGAATTAAAAAATTTTTCAATAAATTATTTTCGAAAATTTAATTATATTGATAAAATTGAATTAAAATTTATAATGAACCTAATTATTTTTTTTTCAATATCTTCCTTGAATAAAAATTCTTTAGAAAGTTTGGATTGAAAATTTGAAAAATTATAATTTTAGTATTATTTTTGAATATTTGATATTTTTCCCAGTAATTTTCATAAAATTCCACCTGACTCGTGGCAACCTTGTTTTGATAAAATTCCTTGTATTTTCTCTGATTTGTGACAACCCTGATTAAAAATTTTTCTTTTCGAATGATGAATGAAAATTATTTTCTCATTTAATTTAGCAATAATTTTAGTAATAAATTTAGTAAAAAAATTTCTAAGAAATTTAGTAAAAAATTTAGTAATAAATTTAGTAATTTTAATAATTAAATAAATGCGTAACATTTAACTATAAATAGAAAACACACATTTTCATTAAATAAAATATTCTTTCCATTGCTCAGAGAAGTAAATATAATAGAAATTAAATAAGAAATTATTTCAATTTAAAAGAAAAAGTTGCTGTTTTACCATAATTAGATAAAATTATATTTTTATATTTGTTTTTTCTATTTTATTTCATTTTTTTATACTTACGTTTTGCTTTTGTTTTTTTTTTAAATATTTTGTGATGAAATTGTTAAAACCCGAGTCAACGAAATGTTAATGTAATGCATAAATAAAAAAATTTTAATTGTTATTTTTGTAAGTACCTTTTTCACAATTCCAAATTTCGAAAAATTAAGTATAAATTACGAGCGTAGGCAGAATAAAATTATTTTAATTGAATTTATAAATTTTAATATAAAAACACATGTATTTTCAATTTCCAAATTAAAAATTCAAATCTTTACAAGAAAAAAAGAACAATAATAGATGGAAATTTATACAAAAATGTGTTGAGTTTTATAAGACATTTTTTGTTTAATTTTTAAATAGAAAAAAAAAACACGTTGAAACATTTTTTTTTTATATTTTAACTAAGTCTATGACTTATTTCTATATAACTATAACGTAAACAACATTTATGTAAATATAAAAATAAAATTATTTTCTCTCGTAAATAAAAAAGGGGGGAAAAAAAATGCAAAATAACATCTTCTCTAAATGTACAAGACGTAAAGTTAAAAGTGAAATGTATTGTAATAACTAATTTAGTCGGAATCACTATCAACGACAGCTTTAATACGTTTGAAAACTCCACTTGTCACTTCTGGTGGTGACTCTGATCTTCGAAGAGGTGAAACTGATTTTCGTTTGCGAGTACGAGTGGCACGTTCTAAAAAGAAAACAAATTTTTTTAAAAAATATATTTAAGCAGTAAAACATTTTTTATTATTAACGACATATTTTTTTTTTACAAATGTTTTAAAAACTAAATTAAAATGTTTTAAAATTGAAATTAAAATTAAAAGAAAAAAATCTTTAAAACATTTTAAGAGATTGAAAATATTAATTGAAAAGAAATTTCAAAATAAACTTTTCTAAATTAATTAACAAAAACTTTTATTTAATATCATGGGGATTGATAACAAAAATTTTGAATAATCTCAGCAATTTTAATTTAAAATTTATATGTACATAGCTATTAGGATCGCTGTTAAACTGGTCCAATTTTTGTAATTTCAGGCCTCACAGCATTAAAAAAAGGGGGAAAATGGGGTAAAATCTAAATGTATATATTTTTCTTAACCAAAATGCTTTAAAGTTGTTTTAAATTACACTAGCGGTGAAAATTTTCAGACCATCAATTTTCTTGATGAATAAAAAACATCTTAAAACATAGAAAGTATAGAAACCAATATTTTTTTCCCCAAATTTTTTAAAAGATGATCAATTTATAGAGAAAAGTGAAATTTAAAGGAGAGATTTTCCCAGTATAGTAATTAATTTTTTTTTTAAATGCCATTTTCAATGTTTTCTAAAAATTTGAATTGCATACGTCTAATAAATAAATGCTTTTTATTTTTTAAATTTATTTTAAAATTAATTTTCCACAGAATGAAAATTCTAAACTAATTTTTTTCTTGAAAAATGAAAGTAATTTTTTATTTTATCAAACCGAAAACCGTCTTGTAAAATATAAAAATTTATTCATATTTTTCAAAGAAACTGAAATTTTTAATAAATTTATATAAAATTTTTAAATTAATTTTCTGTTAAAAAAAGAATTCCGATTTTACTAATTCAGGCCTCGAATTTACTTTAGAAAGAGAAAAAAGTCGATATTTTTAATTTTTAATAAATTTTTTTCGCCATTGACATGAAAAAGTGTCTTTTTTGTGCCTATTTTGGGCAGATAAAGTAGCACTTTTTAAGGCAGTTGTTAATTTTTGCATAATTTTTGTTTTGCTTTTATTTTATTTATCAATTTTTATTATTTTATTTTATATACTATTTCATATATATTATATATTATATAAATATATATATATATATATATATATATATATATATATATATAACTATTCTAAAATTTAATTTTAAATAAATATTTTCTAATTCTATAATAAGGAATGTTTCCTAGGAACATTTCCATCAACTATTTTTTTTTAATTTCAGAATGAAACTGTGATAAATTTTCAAGATTTCAATTCAATAGGACAAATTTTTTAAAAATAATAATTTAAAGTTACTTTAAAAGAAAAAAAAATTCCAAGTTACTGTACAAATTCGAATTCAGAATTTTGACAAATGTTTTAAATAATTAAATTTTCAAAGAAATTGATTAAAATATTATTGAAAAAAAATTAATTTATCCATTGAAATTGTAATAAATTTGAATTCCTGAAAATTATTGAAAAAAATTTTAAATAGTAGGGTAAGTGCATCAATTACGGCGAGTGCATGAATTACGGCCCGTTCATAAAAAATAATTATTATTACTATTATATTTAATATAACTGTTGAAAAATGATTTAAAAAAATTATTTTCACCTTTTTTTTTGATACAGGGTGGCCGCAAAATTTTATTTTCAAAATTCCCTGACTTTTCCCTGACTAATTTTTTATTTTCCCTGACTAAAAAATTTTTGAATTATTTAATATTCTGCATTGCTGATTGAAATTTTTATAATGCTTTTTAAGTAACAATTTTATTCATAAAGGAAAATATAAGATATTTAAACATTGTTTTTTAACAAAATTTTATTATATTTAAAACTTTTATTATAAAAAAGTAAATACCTAAATAACATAACCTTTTAGTTTAATAAGTCTTAAATATCGAATTTTCTATTTCGAAAGTGTTTTGACTCGAATCGCGCCGTAATTAGTGCATTTACCCTAATTGGATTTTAAAGAATTTTTAATAAAAAAAAAAAAAATTTGAATTTTTGAAAAATTAAATTAAAATAATTGAAATAATTAATTTAACAAAGAATTTGAGTTAAAAATTTGAAAAATTATTAAATTTTTAAAATAGTTGCAGTTACAATTATTGAAAACAATTGAATTTCAGGAGATTTTTAATCAAAATTTTTGTAAATTTAAATTGCTGAATATATTTTTATAAGATTCAGACAATAAATGAATTTTAGAAAAATTTGTATTGAGAAAGTGTTTTAAATAATAATTTTTTAAAATAGAGAAAAAAATAGGGGAAATACTGTGAAACCTGTAATTTTTATATATTTGGATAAACTAAAAGTGATGTTAAAAAAAACTCATAATTTTTAATTTTACAAATCAGAAATCTTTATACTCAGCGAAAAAAAAAAAACCGTGAGTTGTTAATGTTCCTAATTTATGATCCGCTATTATTAATTTTTTTCCATATAAAGTTTTTTATTATTTAAAACAAAATGTTAAAAAAATGTTAAAATGTAAAGGGAATTTTCTTATTTTTTTTTTCTATTTCCTATCAATTTGGTGAATGAAATAAATCGAATTGAAAAATTACCATTTTCACGATCACCCCACTAGTGTAATAGCATGTTTTTCTTTTTAAAAAATGAAGCTAGAATTTTTGCACCATCTATGGATAATTTTAAATCTTTGACGAGATCGATAAATTGTTCTTGTGTTAATTTTTTTGGAATTATTTTTCTTCGTTGACCAGGTGGAATGTAATCTTCATCATTATCATTGTCATCAATACTTGTATCATCACTTTCTACATCTTCTACTGTTGAACTGTCAATTTCTACATTTTTTTGAACAAGAAGATGAATTACACGAAATTTCCGGCTTTTTTTTTTTGTGTGTGAAACACAATTTTTATTTCTGATTAGCTATCTCAAAATAAAAACAATCTTTTTAAATTTTAATTAGAACAGACGTCCGTTTGCAAATGCGAAAAATTAAGGCAATTACTATTTTTATTTCTCACTTTTATTCGAAATTAAAAAAAAATAAATAAATTTTATATTTTTAAAATTAAAAAAAAATCTACATAATATTAAAGAAAATATTTGTGAAAATTTCATTAAAATTGCTGAGATCATTTAAAATTCTTCTTAACACTTTCCATATGGAATTGTTTAATTCAATTTTTCAAAAAAAAAAAAAAATTTGTATAAAAAAAATTTAATCTATACCTTTTGAAATGATGTTACTTGTGTCGAGTGATGAGACCTCTGCCGCAATTAATCTTTTTTCTTTGGCTTTAGCACATTTTTGAAGTGTCGGTCTACCTTTGACTCCATTTTTTTCTAAATAATCCATCATTAATTCAACTCGTGCTTTAATTGTTTTGCAATCTTTCCAAAATGTATTATAATTATTTATTCTTAGACCAGCGGCACTAATGTATTTTTTCAATGATTTTATTTTCACATTGTCGTCAGGATTCTAATAAAAAAAAAAAGATACACAATTTTAACGTGAATAAATAAAATTGTTTCTTTTTTTATTCAATTAAAAATTAAAATTTTTATTATAAAAAAAAAGTCTGCAAACTTTTGAAGAAAATAGATTTTCAAAGAAATTATAAAATATTTAAATTGGCATTTAGACTTTAATAAAAAAAGTCAAATTTAGTTTTTAGTTTTTTTAATGGGACAAAATTTTTACTGAAAAAAATGAATTATTTGCATACAGAGAATTATTTTAATTAATAATTAATAAATAATAATTAATTACTTACGTTTTTTTTCTTTCCTTTCTTGTCACCTTCCTCTTCGCTTTCGTTTTCTTCATCGGATGACGATTTTTCATCGCTCTTTGTTTTATCATTTTTCTGTAAAATATAATTCAACATCAATAGATAATATAATAAATTTGTAAATTTAATTTTAAACAGACCCATGACTATCTTGAATTTATATAAAAATGTAAAATATTAATAATAATATTGCAAATAACTTACATTTTTCGAAGATTTTTTACTGCTTTGCTTGCCCTTTTTTTTATTCTCTTTATCGACTTCCTCTTCATTTTTTGAATTTGATTTAACAGTTTTTTTCTTTGTTTCCTTTTTCTGTGTTATTTTCTTCTTTATTCCATTTGAATCGCTATCTGATTCATTTTCACTTTCTTCGTCTTTCTCTGAATTCTCTTCTTCCTTCTTCTTTAATCCATTTTCTTCATCACTTTCCTTCTCTTCCGGTACTTTTATTTCTTTCTTCATCCCTTGTGCTTTCTTTTTCTTCTTCTCATCATCACTTTCTGATTCACTTTCACTTTTTTCGTCCTTTTCTTTATCTTCTTTTATTTTTTTATTTTCAATTTCTTTTTTTACATTCTTCTCAATTTCTTCATCACTCTCGCTTTCCTTCTTTTTGGGGGTTTGAATTTCTTTTTTCTTCATTGGCAACTTTTTCGTTTGTTTCTTTATTGGTGTTTTCTTTTTCTTCATTTCTTCCTCGCTTTCTGATTCATTTTCACTTTTATCAGAAAGTTCTTCTTTTTTATTTTCAATTTCTTCTTCACTTTCGCTTTCCTTTTTTTTTATTTCTTTTTTCTTCATTGGCAACTTTTTTGTTTGTTTCTTCACTGGTGTTTTCTTTTTCTTCTTTTCTTCCTCGCTTTCTGATTCATTTTCACTTTTATCAGAAAGTTCTTTTTTATTTTTAATTTCTTCTTCACTTTCGCTTTCCTTCTTTTTTATTTCTTTTTTCTTCACTGGCAACTTTTTTGTTTGTTTCTTCACTGGTGCTTTCTTTTTCTTCTTTTCTTCCTCGCTTTCTGATTCAGTTTCACTTTTGTCAGAAAGTTCTTCTTTTTTATTTTCAATTTCTTCTTCACTTTCGCTTTCCTTCTTTTTTATTTCTTTTTTCTTCACTGGCAACTTTTTTGTTTGTTTCTTTATTGGCGCTTTCTTTTTCTTCTTTTCTTCCTCGCTTTCTGATTCAGTTTCACTTTTTTCGTCCTCGTCTGAAAAATCTTTATCATTCTTCTTTTCTTTTATTTCTTCTTCGCTTTCACTTTCTTTTGTGACTTTTTTCTTCATTATCTGCTTTTTCGTTTGTTTTTTTGCCGGTAGTTTCTTTTTCTTTTTGTCTAAATCACTATTTTCAGAATTATTTTCATTTTTTTCTTCTTCATCGTCTTCAGAAAGTACTTTTTTCTTTTTTTGTTCTTTCATTTCTTCATCACTGTCTTCGTCTTCTGAATTTTTTGTGCTTTTCTTTTTTATTATTTTCATTCTCACTTGTCGTTTTGGTGGTAATTTCTTTTTCTTTTCATTTACATCACTTTCTTCCGATTCACTTTGTTCTTTCTTTTGTTTCTTATTCTTTTCCATTTCTTCTTCACTTTCAATTTTTGTATTTTTATTTTTTGTCACTTTTTTATTTATTTGTTTTTTTGGTTGTGGTTTCTTTTTCTTATTTTTTGCATCACTATCTTCTGATTCGCTATTTTCAACTATTTTTGAAGATTTTTCTTTTGATTTCTTCGTTTTTTCTATTTCTTCATCACTTTCACTACTCTCATCATCGGAAGATTCAATTTTTTTCTTCATTACTGTCTTTCTCTTTGCTGCTTGTCTCTTTGGTGGTGCTTTCTTTTTCTTCTTCTCTATTTCAGAATCAATTTCACTTTCCTCGTCTTCTGAATTTTGTATTTTCTTTCCTTTTTTCGTTTGTTGTTTTTTCACAGGTAACTTCTTTTTCTTCTTACCCACATCACTTTCATCATCATCATCATCATCTTCTTCTTTCTTTTTTACCATCATCTTCGTTTTTCTTTTCGGTGATTCGATATTTTTTTTCTCATCCTCACTATTTTCTGAATCATCATTTTCTGAAAGATCGTTTTCCTTTTCTTTTATATTTTCTTCAATTTCCATATTTTCTTCATCATTGGAAACTTTTATTTTCTCATTTTTATTTCTTTGACTTGAAATCTTCTTTTGATTCTCTTCATCGCTGTCTTCTGATTCACTTCCACTATTTTTCTTCTTTTCTGACAAATTATCGTCATCGTCAACTTTTTTGTTCTCAATCTTCTTCTCCATTTCTATTTCACTATCGCTGTTATCTTCTTTCTTTAATTTTTTCTTGTACTCATCTTCTTTCTCCTCAGTTATTTCGCATTTTTTTTCACCTGACTAAAATTAATAAATAATGATAATATTGAAATATATTTTTAATCCAAAAAACTCTTAAATAAAAATTTTTCGTTTCATTTTAATATTTATATTAATAAAAAATAATAATAACATGCATTTAAAAAAAAAAATCTTGAAAATAAAAAAATGATTTCATTAATTGAATATTATCTCTTACTTTTTTAACAGTTTCCTTATTTTTCACATCAATTTCATCGTCAGTTTCAGCGCCAACATGAAGTTTCATTTCATCGTCGCTTTCTGATTCATCTATTTTTTCTTTTTTATCCTCAGAAAATTCATTTTCTGATAAAACTTTTGCTTTTTTTAATGAAGAATGATCATTTTCATCCTAAAATAATTATATAGGAATAATATAATTTTTTATATGAGTAAAAATATTTTTTTCTATTAAAAAAAAAAAAAAGGAAAAAAAAGAGTTGTTTAAAAACTTACAATTTGCCTTTTTCGTTTGCCATTTTCGTTAGTTTCTTCTATATTCTCACAATTATTTTCATCAATTTTCTCCTTTTCATTCATAATTTCAAATGTTTTATCCATTATTGAAATTTATTTTAGTGCATTCTTTTCGAAATTTCAAATAAAATTAATAATAATCTGAAAAAAGGTAAAATAAAACCAATAGTTTTAATCTTTAAAACTGAATTGATAAACATTGTAATTAATAATTAGAATTAGCGACTTTTTGCCATTGATTATTAATTTAGCTAAAATTTACTAATTAACAAAAATAAAAATTTTTATTTAGTAAAATTTTAGTAATTTAAAAATTTAGTGAACAATTTTAATTAAAATTTTTGATTCGTTTTTATCATGTTCTTCAGAAAAATTAATCAATTCTTCCAATAATTTAATAATTTAAATATTTAAATAAATGAAAATTAATTTTCTTTACACTATAAAAGCAGTAAACATAAACAATTATTTTCATTTCATCTTATTAATATTGTATGTAGAGAATTAAAATTTTTTTAATTAAAACACTTAGCAAATTTGATCATTTTTTGGTAATTTTAATAAACTGATGCGATAATTTAATTATATAAATAATTTTAAAAAATTAAAAATATTGTATTTCACGTACATTTTTATTTTAATTCACAAAGAATTTATTTAATTTGTAAAAAATTGTATTATACATTTTTCAAGCATCGGATTATACGACTTTTTCCGACTTTTTTAAACATTTTTTTTTAATTTAAACAAAATACGTTTTTTTTAGTATACAATGCAGATCTTCTTCAGATCTTTATTTCAATTATTTAACAAATTTTTAACTAAAATTCTTCACTAAATTAATTATTTTTAATAATTTTAATGAAATTCTTCACAAATTCAATTATCTTAAACTATTTTCGAATTAAAATTTTTATGAACTTTAATAATTGTTTATAAATTAAAAAAAAAAAAAATTAGCAAATAAAATTAACAAAAATTTTTAATTCAAAATCACTTGAAATTTAATTATTTGCAAAAATTTCAATTATTTTTAATGATTTTTATAATATTCTTCGAAAATTCAATTATCTGAAAGCATTTTTCAATTAAAAACTTTTGGAATTCAATTTTTTTATGTGATTTCTAATATAAATTCTTCATCAACAGAAATCACTAAAAATTTCTCTTATTATAATTATTATCTGAAATTTAACACAATCTTTTGAAATTCAATTATTTTCAAAAATTTCAATTTAAAAGCTTCTAAAATTTTCCATCTTAAATTTTTTTGAAATTTAATAATTTCAATTATAATTCCAAATCCAATTATTTTTAATAATTTTTATAATATTTTTCGAAAATTTAACTATCTGAAACTATTTTTTACTTAAAAATGATTTTCAAATTATTGTATTTTTGTCTGCAATTTCTAATAATTTTTTTAGTGTAATCATAAAAAAATTTTTAATTAAAAATCACTTAAAGTTGAATTAATTTCAATAATCTAAATTTTAAATCTTTGAAAATTCAATTACATTAAAAAAAATGTTATCTAAAATAATTTGATAAATTATTTTTAGTTCTGTAAAATTTAATTATTTTCTGAAAATTAATAAAATCTTTTGAAATTCAATTATTTCTGAAAAATTTTCAACTTTAACTCTTCCAAAATTATTATTTTAAAAAAATTGTTATTTAAAAATCAGTAAAACTTAATTAAGTATTGCCAGAAATTTTTTTCACTATCAAAATTAAAAACTATGACAAAATTTTAAATTCGAATAAATTTCTTAAATCAGACTTGAAAAAATTATAAAAATGAAACTTTAAAGAATTTTTTTTTGAAATTTTTCCTACTTAATTAAAATTTAAAAAATTTATCTTAGTTCGATTCTGAAATATTCGAAATAAATTTTCTTGATAATATTTTTATACAATTATTCTCGTTACAGAATTAATAAAATGAATTTAATATCTAATAACTTTAGTTATTTAAAGTTTAATATTCATTAACCAATTAAATTTTGATAAAATAAAAAAAATCCTTTTTTTCGAAATATAAATCGACTAAAACGACTTTTTTTGTGCCTTAAAGTCGATCCGAGACTGGATTTTTCTAAAAATACAATTATTAAATAAAAGTTCTAATCTTGCAAATCTTCGAAACATCAAATTATTATTTTTTTCAATTTGAAAAATAAAATTTCCTTCTATAAAAAAATATAAATATGCTTCTATTATTAAATTTATCGTTTAAGTATTTATTACAAAAATAAATCTTATTTTTAGAAAATTACATAATAATAAAATGCTTGGTCTGTCCTTCTGTCCTAACTGGAAGTTGGCCTTTTCTGATTTCACGTGTTTTTTTTAATAGTAATCTTATGACGTGTCAAATTTTGACAATTCTTTTTCTCATTTTTGCCAAAGTTGTATAATTGTGTTTCCAAATTTCGGAATAAGTTTCTTTAAAATTCCAAATTCCAAAATTCAATTCACGAAGCTGAAGTACACAACGTTTACCAACGAAATTTTTTTTAAAGTTGTATATTCATTCAAAAATTCTATACAAATACAAAAAATTTATGATGAGAAAAAAGATGCGTCAGGAAATTTCGTACAAGATAGTAATTTGAAAAAAATTTATTTTTAAAAATTAATTTTTAAGGTACCAGGGGCCAACGAATACCTATTAAATATTAATTATAAAAACACAGGCCTCGAATCAACTCAAAGACACAAAAAAGTCGTTTCAGTCGATTTATATTCCAAAAAAAAGTGGATTTGTTTTTTATTTTAACAAAAGTATTTTACAGATTTTTAAATAAAAAATTTTTTTTTTAATAATAATCCTTTTCGAAGGGTTAAAGTTGAAATTTTTAGAAATAATTAAATTTCAAAAGATATTGTTAATTTTCAAAGAATTATTAAATTTTACAGAACTAAAAATAATTTATCAAACAATTTTTGGAAAACATTTTTTAAATTTAATTGAATTTTCAAAGATTTAAAATTGAGATTTTTGAAATTAATTGAAACTTTAAGTGTTTTGTAATTAAAATTTTAGATGATTTCACTAAAAATTTATTAGAAAATGCGGACAAAATATAATAATTTGAAAATCATTTTTAATTGAAAAATGGTTTTAGATAGTTGAAATTTCACAGAATATTATTAAAATAGTTAAAAATAATTGAATTATTAAAAATTATTAAATTTCAAAAAAAAAATTTCGATGGAAAATTTTAGAAATAATTAAATTTTTCGATGCTTTTAAATTCAAATGATTGAAAATTCAATTAATTTTGAATTCAAATTTTTGAGAATAATGAAATTTTATTTGATTTTAAATTGAAAATTTTTGGGAAATAATTGAATTTTAGTTGTTTTTGGATTGAAAATTTTGAAAATAATTTAATTTTGTTTGATTTTGGATTGAAAAGTTTGTAAATAATTAAATTTTAGTTGATTTTGGATTGCAATTTTGGAAAATAATCGAATTTCAATTAAAATTTTGGAAAATAATTGAATTAAAATTGAAAGTGAGGGGAATTTTTATAGTGATGTATTGGACTCTTTTTTGGAGTTAGCTTAGATAGGTTTACTGCTAAGCTGCGTGAAACCGTTCTTAAAATTTAATAATAATTTATAATAACTATGGCCATAATATGTTAATATGTTAATCTTTAGTTGTTTTTTTTTATATGACAAAATTATTGTCTACAATTTAAACTTTATAATGGGTTTATCACCCGTCTGTAATTCTAAATAAATAAATAAATAAAATAATTGAATTTTAATTGAAATTTTGAAAAATAATTGAAATTAGTTTATTTTTAATTGAAATTTTATAAAATAATTGAATTTTAATTAAAATTTTGAAAAATAACTGAATTTTATTTCATTTTGGATGCAAATTTAGAAAATAATTGTATTTAATTGAAATTTTGGATAATAATTTAATGGAAGTTCAATTGTGATTGAAAATTTGGATAATTAATTTTGAATAGAAATTTTATAAAATAATTGAATTTCAATTAAAATTTTTGAAAATAATTGAATTTCAATTGTAATTTTGGAAAATTATTGAATTTTAGTTGATTTTCAATTGAAATTTTGGAAAATAATTCAATTTTAGTTAATTATCAATTGAAATTTTGGAAAATAATTGATTTTGAATTGAAAATTTGGAAAATAATTGATTTTAAATCGAAAATTTTGAAAATAATTGAATTTTAGTTGATTTTATATTGCAAATTTTGAAAATAATTGAATTTCAGTATATTTTGAATTGAAAATTTTGTGAACTAATTGAATTTTAATTGAAATTGGATAATAATTGAATTTAAATTAATTTTTGATTGAAAATTTGGATAATAAAATTTTGAATAGAAATTTTAGAAAATAATTGAATTTTATTTCATTTTAAATTGAAAACTTAATAATTAAATTTTAAATTGAAAATTTTGGATAATTATTGGATTTTTAATTGATTTTGAATTAAAATTTCGGGTAATAATTGAATTTTAGTTTATTTTGAATTGAAATTTTTAAAAAATAATTAAATTTTATTGTGATATTTGTTTTTTAAATTATAAACAATTGTTAAATTTCATAAAAATTTTAATTGAAAAATAATTTTGATATAATTGAATTTGTGATGTATTTCATCAAAAATATTAAAAATAATTAATTTAGTGAAGAATCATTTTAGTTCAAAATTTGTTAAATAATTGAATTGAAGAAGATCTGAAGAAGATCTACATTTTATACTAAAAAAATGTATTTTATTTACATTTTTTTTTTAATGTAAATAAAAAATGGCGCATTTTATTAAAATAAGTCGATAAAAGTCGTATTTTTGAAAAAAGTCGGAAAAAGTCGTATAATCCGAGGCCTGTAAACATATAATTTTCATTATTATCATTTAATATGTAATAATATTCTAATAAATTAAATTATTATTGATAATATTAATCTTTAATTTCTTTATAACAAACAATTAAATACTCAATTTGACGCGCTTACGCGCGTTTAATTTTACTAGTTATTTAATAAAAGTTCTAATATTGCAAAATCTTCGAAATATCAAATTATTATTTTTTTTAAATTTTAAAATAAAAATTTCCTTCTATAAAAAATATAAGTTTAAGTATTTATTACAAAAATAAATCTTATTTTTTAGAAAATTATTAATATTTTTATAAATTTATCAAATATTATACAAAAAATAAAGAAATAATAAATTTTTATTTTAAGTGAAAAAAAATTTCCTTTTTTAACTGAAAATAAAATAGTATTTATTTATTAAAGGAAAAATAATTTTTATAAATAGATAATTTATTATTATTATTATTGAACAGTTAAAATTGCAATTTTAAAAATTTTTCATGTCAAAATTTAATGCATATTAAGTAAATATAAAAAAAAAATTGAGGTTATTTTTTCTCACAATAGAACAAAATTCGAAGAAAAAAAAATTTTCTACTACAATTTACATATTATTTCTACTTATAAATGAAAAATTAATGCAATATAGTTTTTAAAAAAAATTATTTATATTATAAATAAATTATTTAACTTACCGAAATTTTTTAAGATGTTATTAATTTCCAAAATAAATGATAAAATGTGTCATTCAGATGAAAACATTTTTTAACGATAAATAAAAAAAAACAGAAATACCTATATAAGTTTTTTTTTTAGAGAACAAAAATGATGATTTATGAACACTGGCGAAAAATGAATCCGGCGCAATTATTTTTATGTTTATAAAATGAAACAATTCTTTGAATAATTATTTCACTAATTATTGTATATATATAACATTTATATGAGACAACTTTTAATGCCTAGTTATTTAAATAATAATATATTCACATTTAATAATAATGCTTCAACTATCTTTGATGTTTCACATTAAAAAACATGTGACGCATGAACAAGAGAAAACCGCCAAAACAAAATTATAAAAATCAGGGTTAAGAAATAATGACGCTCACTTTTTTTGCTATTATAAGCACTTTCTACAATAGTTTTTTGACATATCCAACACTGGAACTATAAAGTGAAACGTCCGTAATGTGACGTTTGTCTCGGCAATTATTGTGATGTGATAGCACCCTAAAATGAAAGTAATTTGACTAGCGAGTATTGTCGTCATTTCCACTTTAAATAAACAAAGAGCATGCGCATATATTGAAAATTCATTTCCACATCATTCTCAGCACGTGTAGAACGTAGCTCGTCTTTTTTTTTTGCCAAAAAAAAAAGAAATTGCATAAATAAACAATTTTCTCTATTTCAATATAATAGTAATTTCAACAATAATTTTTTTAATCTCAATCAGTGTGAATTAACAAAAATGGAAAACGATCAAGAAACAAATAAAACAGAAGAGAAAAACGACGCCACCACTGAAGAGGTTAAGGCAGATGAAACACCGGTTGAAAGTAATGTTGAAAAAGCTAAAAATGGTGAAAATCATGAGGAGAAAAAGGAATCTGAAACTGTCGAAGCTACGCCAGAACTTTTAGAAAAAATTAAAAAACAAATTGAGGTATTTGCAAATTTTTATTTTTATCATTCGATTTTTATTCATTCGATTTCGTAATATTGTAATTGGTTAAGAAATTTATTTCTGTTACTTATTTAATGAGAATCTAAAAATTTTAATTTATAATAAAATAAATTTTAATTGATTTTTTTTTTTGGAGCGATTTTGGTTTTTGCATTATTAATGTTTCTAGTTGGATTATATTGTGACTGTTTTACCGATCGAAATTTTGGCGGTAATTTTAAAAAGTTAAATGTTACGAAAAAAATTTCGAACAAAGTTTATTTATTTCAAAGCTTATACGAGTTTATTAAAGAATATATTTAGTACATAGGTACTAAATACAAGTGGCTAAATACGAGAATAAGAAACTTGTGTAATATAATTATATACGTTATTAATCTTTTTTTTATCTTCTTTTTTTAATTTCAGATATTTGAATATTATTACATATTAAATAATAATAATGAAAATTATATGTTTACAGGCCTCGGATTATACGACTTTTTCCGACTTTTTTCAAAAATACGACTTTTATCGACTTATTTTAATAAAATGCGACATTTTTTTTTACATTTGAAAAAAAAAAGAAAAAAAAATTCATTTTTTTAGTATAAAATGTAGATCTTCTTCAGATCTTCTTCAATTCAATTATTTAACAAATTTTGAAATAAAATGATTCTTCACTAAATTAATTATTTTTAATAATTTTAATGAAATACATCACAAATTCAATTATATCAAAATTATTTTTCAATTAAAATTTTTATGAAATTTAACAATTGTTTATAATTTAAAAAAAAATATCACAATAAAATTGAATTATTTTTAAAAAATTTAAATTCAAAATAAACATTATTACCCGAAATTTTAATTCAAAATCAATTAAAAATCCAATAATTATCCAAAATTTTCAATTTAAAATTTAATTATTTACCAAGTTTTCAATTTAAAATGAAATAAAATTCAATTATTTTCTAAAATTTCTATTCAAAATTAATTATCCAAATTTTCAATCAAAAATTTATTTAAATTAAATTATTATCCAATTTCAATTAAAATTCAATTAGTTCACAAAATTTTCAATTCAAAATGAACTGAAATTCAATTATTTTCAAAATTTGCAATTTAAAATCAACTAAAATTCAATTATTTTCAAAATTTTCGATTTAAAATCAATTATTTTCCAAAATTTCAATTGAAAATCAACTAAAATTCAATAATTTTCCAAAATTACAATTGAAATTCAATTATTTTCAAAAATTTTAATTGAAATTCAATTATCTTCTAACATTTCTATTCAAAATTAATTATCCAAATTTTCAATCACAAATGAACTTCCATTAAATTATTATCCAAAATTTCAATTAATACAATTATTTTCTAAATTTGCATCCAAAATGAAATAAAATTCAGTTATTTTTCAAAATTTTAATTAAAATTCAATTATTTTATAAAATTTCAATTAAAAATAAACTAATTTCAATTATTTTTCAAAATTTCAATTAAAATTCAATTATTTTCTAAAATTTCAATTAAAATTAAATTCTTTTTAAAAATTTTAATTCAAAATCATCTTATATTCAATTTTTTTCAACTAAATTCAATTATTTTCCAAAATTTGCAATTTAAAATCAACCAAAATTCAATTATTTTCAAAATTTTCAATCCAAAATCAAGTAAAATTCAATTACTTTCAAAAGTTTCAATTCAAAATCAACTAAAATTCAATTATTTTCTAAAATTTCAATTAAAATTCAATTATTTTCAATTTTAATTCAATTATTTTCCAAAATTTTAATTGAAATTCGATTATTTCCCAAAATTTTCAATTCAAAATGAACTGAAATTCAATTATTTTCCAAATTTAAAATCTAATATAATTTCACTATTCTCAAAAATTTGATTTCAAAATTAATTGAATTTTCAATAATTTGAATTTAAAAGCATCTAAAATTTAATTATTTCTAAAATTTTCCATCAAAAATTTTTTTTTTGAAATTTAATAATTTCAATTATAACTCTAAGGAAATTCAATTATTTTTAACTATTTTTATAATATTTTTCGAAAATTCAACTATCTGAAACTATTTTTCAATTAAAAATGATTTTCAAATTATTGTATTTTGTCCTCATTTTCTAATAAATTTTTAGTGAAATCATCTAAAATTTTAATTAAAAAACACTTAAAGTTTCAATTAATTTCAAAAATCTCAATTTTAAATCTTTGAAAATTCAATTAAATTTAAAAAATGTTTTCCAAAAATTGTTTGATAAATTATTTTTAGTTCTGTAAAATTTAATAATTGTTTGAAAATTAACAATATCTTTTGAAATTTAATTATTTCTAAAAATTTCAACTTTAACCCTTCGAAAAGGATTATTAAAAAAAAATTTTTTATTTAAAAATCTGTAAAATATTTTTGTTAAAATAAAAAACAAATCCACTTTTTTTTGGAATATTAAATCGACTAAAACGACTTTTTTGTGTCTTTAAGTTGATTCGAGGCCTGTGTTTTTATAATTAATATTTAATAGGTATTCGTTGGCCCCTGGTACCTTAAAAATTAATTTTGAAAAATAAATTTTTTTCAAATTACTATCTTGCACGAAATTTCCTGGCGCATCTTTTTTCTCATTATAAATTTTTTGTATTTGTATAGAATTTTTGAATGAATTTACAACTTTAAAAAAAATTTCGTTGGTAAACGTTGTGTACTTCAGCTTCGTGAATTGAATTTTGGAATTTTAAAGAAACTTATTCCGAAATTTGGAAACACAATTATACAACTTTGGCAAAAATGAGAAAAAGAATTGTCAAAATTTGACACGTCATAAGATTACAATTTAAAAAAACACGTGAAATCAGAAAAGGCCAACTTCAAGTTAGGACAGAAGGACAGACCAAGCATTTTATTATTATATAATAATTACAACAAAATATATTTACGAGTTAAATTCTTGATAATTATTTTAAATCAAAAAAATTTTTTTTAATTTGGAGAAAAATGATACTAAATTGCATTTTTTTTTACTTTTACTGACTTTTTTCAATGAACGCGACTATTTCGACTTATTTTTATAAAATGTGATTTTTTCGACTTTTTTTCAACAAAATATACTTTCATCAAAAATTTTATTATTTAAAACACTTTCTCAATACAAATTTTTCTAAAATTCAGTTATTGTTTGAATCTTATAAAAAGAAAAATTCAGCAAATATTTAAATTTACGAAAATTTTGATTAAAATTCTCTTGAAATTCAATTGTTTTCAATAATTTTTAACTTCAACTATTTTAAAATTTAATAATTTTTCACATTTTTAACTTAAATTCTTTGTTGAATTAATTATTTCTGATAACTTTAAGCAGTCTTCAAAAATTTCATTAATAAACACATTTCTCAATTAAAATTTTTTTTTTAAATTCAATACTGAACTTTGTAAAAAAATTTACCAAAATTCTTTTTTCATATCTCCTGAAATTTTAATTATTTCTAAAAAATTTTAATTTATTTCTTCCAAATTCGATTATTTTCAAAATTTTTATCTAAAATTCTTCGCTAAATTAATTATTTCTTTCATTTTAATTCATTTTTTTCAAAAATTCAAATTTTTTTTTTATTAAAAATTCTTTAAAATTTAATTTTTAATTATTGTTTAAAATTTTGTTAATAATTTTCAGCAATTTAAATTTACAACAATTTCAATTGATAAATTAATTTTTTTCAATAATATTTTAATCAATTTTTTTGAAAATTTAATTATTTAAAACATTTGCCGAAATTCTGAATTTGAATAATTTGTACAATGACTCGGAATTTTTTCATCCTTTAAAGTAACATTAAATTATTATTTTTCATAATTTGTCCAACTGAATTAAAATCTTGAAAATTTGTCATAATTTAATTCTGAAGTTAAAAAAAAAAAGTTGATGGAAATGTTCCTGTGAAACATTCTTATTATAGAATTAGAAAAAATTTATTTAATTTCTAATAATTAATGTTAATGATAATGAAATATTTATTAACTAATAAAATTTATTAAAAATAAAAAATATCGACTTATTCGATTTTTGTTGTATTGAAAATCGACTAAAACGACTTGTTACTCTTTCTAAAGTAAATCCGAGTCCTGAATTAGGAAAATTTGAATTCTTTTTTTAACAGATAATTAATTTTAAAATTTAATTTAAGGGTGATTCTCTCAAAAAGAACAAATTATTTGTGCACAATTTTTGGACGAGGTTTTTGTTAAAAAATAATAACATTAATTTCAATTAATAAACATTCTCCCAGCCATACGATAAAATTCAACAAATTTTTATGGGATCACTAAAGAAAATTTCCAAAAAATGGCAAACAACTGAATTATTGAATGAAAACTAGTGTTAAAACTCCATTCCGTAACATCAGTTTTTATTCAATATTTCAGTTATTTTACCTTTTTTTAAAAATTTTCTTTAGTAGTCCGATTGAAAATTGTTAAATCCTAACGTATGGCTGACAGAATTTTAAATAATTTCAATTAATTTTCATATTTTTTAACAAAATATCTTAAAAGCGTAATTTGTCCTTTTTGAGAGAATCACCCTTAAATAAATTTAAAATTTCAGTTTCTTTGAAATTGTTGTCTTTCTCAATTGTTTTCAATAATTGTAACTGCAACTATTTTAAAATTTAATAATTTTTCAAATTTTTAACTCATATTCTTTGTTAAATTAATTATTTCTGATAACTTTAATCAAAATCTTCAAGAATTCCATTAATAAACTCATTTCTCCATTAAAATTTTTTTTAAATTCAATTATATTCTAAACTTTGTAAAAAATCTTCCTCAATTCGAAATTTTATAAAATTCTTTTTGTTTATCTCCTGAAATTTTAATTATTTCTGAAAAACTATAAATTCATCAAAATAGATTTATTATTTGGGTCGGGAATTTTTTGTTTTAAATTAACTGGAAAATCTAGAAAAGTCATGGAATTTTAAAATCAGTCTTTCGTGGTAATTCTGAATTGGAAAATTATATTTTTTTCTCGCTGAAAAATTCTTTTTTTTTCTTTTAAATTTTTATTTTATAAATTTCTTTATTCTAGTTTTATTTCGGTGACGTAAATATGCAAAAGGACAAGTTTCTCATTGAGCAAACAAAATTAAGCGACGGTTGGGTTCCAATGGATGTGATGTTGAAATTTAAATTATTAGCTGCATTAAGCAAAGATTCAGTAACAATTGTCAATGCACTTGAATCAAGTGAACTTATTGAGGTGTCGGAAGATAAAAGTAAAATTCGACGATCTCTCGATCATCCATTGCCAGTTTATGATGAGGAATATAGAAAAAGTCAACAGGAAAGGACAATTTATGCAAAAGGTTTTCCACTCGAGGGAATTACCATTGATATGCTAAAAGATTTTTTTGCACCATATGAGCCAATTGAAAATATTTACGTAAGTATTTTGAAATTTTCTTTTTTTTTCATTCCTTTCATTTCAAAAATTTCAATTTCATTCTAAAATTTTTTCTTTTCTACCTTTTTAATAAAAAAAATTATCGAACAATTTGATTAGTTTTAATATTTTTTGAAAAAAAACTATAACTACATTTAAAAGAATTTGTATAAAAAAATTTTTTATGAATCTTTTTTTTCAACTGAATTTTTTTAAAATTTAATGTATTGAGTAAATTTTTTATAAAAAAAAAAAATTATTCGAATTAATCATTTTTTTTACGTTTTTTCTTCTAGATGAGAAAATACGCTGATAAGGAGAAGAAAATGCATTTTAAGGGATCGATTTTCGTTCAATTTAAGACTCTCGATGCAGCGAAAAATTTCATGGAAAAAGATTCATTTAAATATGAAGAAACAGAGCTCATCAGAAAATGGGCGTAAGTAATTTTTCTTGTTATTTTTTTATGAATAAAAAATTATTATTTTTAATTATATAATAATTTTTTGCATTACTCTAGAAATATTTAAAAGAAAACAAGTTTATAACGAAAATAATAGAAAAAAAATTGGTAAATTCTTAATTTTCAGAGTTGACTATAATGCAGAAAAGCTAAAAGAAAGAGACGAGAGACGTCAAAAGAAGGAATCTCAAAAAGGCAACAAAAATTCTGGTGGACAAGAGGTAATAATTTAACAATTTAGAAAAAAAATTTTTTTAAATAGAAAAACCTTGTAATTCGCAAATATTAGTTTAACAATATAATATATAATAATTTATTACTATAATAATAATTAAAATAAAATGTGACCTTTTTTTTCGTAATGAAGAAAAAGGAGGAAACTGAAAAAGGAAAAGAAACTCGTAGTCTCCCCAAGGGTTCGATTTTGCATCTCTCTGGAATAGAAAGTGGAGCCAGGGAAGATATCAAAGAAGCTTTGGCCAATTTAGATGCCCATGTCGCATTTGTGGATTACTCAAGAGGGAAGGAAAGTGGCTACGTTCGTCTTGTAAATGAAAATGAAGCCAAAACTATTTTTGAAAAATTGGAAGAAGGAAAAGTTAGTATTTGCTGTTTTTTTTTATTTTATTGCTTTCTAAAAAAAAAAATACGTTTTTTTATTTTCTCTACCAAAAATTTCGAATAGGAGAAAAAAAGTATTTTTTTTTTCATCAAATTATTCAATTCTTTTTTTATTAATTCTGAATATAAATTTTATTATCATTTTTTTTTCTCATACTTTTTGTTTTTTTAGTTAAAAATTGCTGAAAGTGAAGCAAACGTTCGTGTTCTTGAAGGCGAAGAAGAAATTGAATATTTAGCAAAAGTTGAAAAAGAACTTGCCAATCTACGAAAAGGAAAATACAATAAACATGGTAATTCAAAGGGAGGCAGAAAAAGTAAGTAATATTTTTTTAATAAAACTAATTTTTTTTAAAAAATATTTTTTTACGTATTTATTTATTAGGCATCATTGATTCTTATCTATTTCACTAGGATATTAATCAGAAAAATAATAATTTATTCAATTTTAAAAAATTTACCAATAAATATTCTTTCTTTCTATAATGAAATTTTTCTTTTTTAGAAATAATTCAGAAAGTTGCACGAGTCATTTTAGATGAGAAAATAAATTTTTGAATGAGATTGTTTTATTCCGCGATTAATTAATTAATTGTTGCCAGGGGTCAGGAAAATTAGGGAAATCATTGAAAAGTCAGGGAATTTTATGAAAAATACTGGAAAATATTAAATTTCTAAAAAATACTACTAAAATTATTATTTTTGAAATTTTCAATTTAAACTTTTGCTTCTAGAAATTATTGTCTTAAATTTTTATAATTCTAGGCCTTGGATCGAATTTTGAAAAAAAGTCATTTTAGTCATTTTACATTACAAGAAAAGTCTAAAAAATCCATTTTTTATTTTCAATAAATTTAATTTGATGATAAATATTTTATTATTATTAACAATTTGTTATTGGAAATTAAATCAAATTTATTAATTTCTTAAGAAGAATGTTTCACAGAAATATTTTCAACAATTTTTCTTTTTAAACCACCGAATTAAACTGAGACAAATTTTCATAATTTTAATTAAGTTTCAGAACAAATTTTCTAAAATCATTTAAAGTTATGTTTAAAAAAAGGAATTTTGCAGAATTTTCATCAAAACGATTTTCTATATTAAAGAATTTTTATATAACCGAAAATTCACTTCACAGAATTTTTATTTGATCGAATTTTAATTTGTCAGAATTTTTATTTGCTCGAATTTTCATTTAACATAATAGGCAATTTAAAGAATTTTTATTGGGTGAATTTCATTGCATAGAATTTTCATTTTATTCTTTCAGATGAATTTTCATTTGTTCGAATTATTATTTGATATAATTGCCAAATAACCGATTTTTCATTATACAGAATTTTTACCTAATCGAAAAATCATTTAACCGAATTTCTAATTGATAGAATTTTCATTTGTCCGAAATTGCAAATGGCCGAACAAACAATCGATTTTGGCGCGATTTTTAAAATCAACCAATCAAAAATTATCCATAAAATTGTAATTAGTTGATTTTTAAAATCGCGCCTAAATCGATTGTTTGTTCGGACATTTGCAATTTCGGACAAATTCTTCAAATTCAAAAATTCTATCAATTAGAAATTTTGTTAAATGATTTTTCGATTAAGTAAAAATTCTGTAGTATGAAAAATCGGTTATATGGAAATTTATATCAAATAATAATTGGAACAAATGAAAATTCAATGCAATGAAATTCTACCCAATAAAAATTCTTTAAAATGCCTGTTATGTTAAATGAAAATTCGAGTAAATTAATATTTTAACAAATAAAAATTCGAACAAATAAAAATTCTGTAATTTTGCGGTTATATAAAAATTCCATAATATAGAAAATCGCTTAAAAATAATTATAACAAATGAAATTCCATAAAATGAAAATTCGAACTAATGATTTTTAGAACATAATCATGCGTCCCTTAAAGTTATTAAAAATAATTAATTCAAAAAGAAATTTAAATTTGAAAACACACTATTTTGTAAAATTAATCCAAAAATAACATTAAAACAAAATTTCTATTTTGTAACAGAAAAAAAAAATACATTAATCCGATATGATCTAGTGGCAAAAATACCTATTTTGTAAAATTAATACAAAAATAAGAAAAAAAAAATTACTGTCTTGAAACAGAAAAAAATACGTTAATCCGATATAATTAATTGAAAGAGAAGTTAAAAATTTGAGAAATAATTTTTGGTAGAGCAATAGTTAAAATTTTTGGAACTAATTAAATTTCATGAGATATTTAATGAAAATTTTCGTAAATTGAAATTGATGTAGATATTTTAAATGTTTTAAACAATGATTAAACTATGGAGAATTTTGAACTGGAAAATGTTTTAAATAATTGAATTTTCGAAAATCTTGATTAAAATTATTAAAATTAAATTATTCAACAATTTTAATTTTAGATAGAAATAATTGTATATTAGAATAGTTCGAGTTAAAAGTTTGAGAAATAATAATTGAATTTCAGGAGATTATTAATTGATAAAATTGTTTTAAAAACTTTAAACAATAAATTACAAATAGTTCACCAACTTTGACGAAAAAAATATAAAAAATAATATAATTATTTAACAACGAATTTTTGTGGAAAATAATTTATTCTGAAAATTATACAACTGAATCTTTCAAAATTTGATAAAATTAATTTTATGTATAGTTTTATTTGTTGTTAAAAACAATTTTTTAGTTTTTTAGTTAATGGGTTAAAAATCCTTAAAAATTTTTTTTTTAAGTTTCCAATTGGATGTTAAGTTATAGACGACAATTATGCCTATTAAATTAATATTGTATTACGTTTTAACAAAAAAAAATTTGATTTTGACAAAAATATAGAAACAATTTTTAAAATGATGATTTGCCATGCTAATACTGAGGAATCTTTAGGATTTCGCTGAGTTGAAAAAACTTCAAAGCAAAACTGATTGTTTCTTAAAAACAAAAAAAAAAATTGTTTTCTCCAAATATAGAAAAAAAATTCTAAAAATGTATTCGCCCCCTTTATTTTTTTCAGATCGATTCCAAAGAGGACAAAAGAGAAAAGGTAATGATTTTGGAGATGAAATTTCACCGAAGAAGAAAGCTGTTTAAATTAAAAGTGTGAATTATAAAAAGAGAAACAAAAAAAAAAATTATATTTTTTAAGGATATAATATTCACTGTCATTATTGTTGTTACAGTGGTTACTGTATATTTTTTATTAATTTTTTCACAGACTCATTAATTTAAGCAGTTGTAACAAAAATAATAGATTTTATATAATTTTTACTGGTGAAAATCATTTTCTTTTTTTATGTTTTTTCATTATGAATACAAAAGATTCTTTATTTTTAAAAGAATGTCTTTTTTATTTTAATGACATGAAAAAAAATTGATTTACAGTTTTGCATTTTTTTTGTTGTCAACTTTATTTTTTTATTATAATTTGTAAAAATTTTGAGTCATTATTGAAGTTAATTGATAGCTTTTTTTTTTGATGTAAAAAAAAAGAAAATAATTTTGAAAAATAATAGTGTTAATGTTGTAAAAGAGAAATTTATATCATTTTCTCGTGAAATTCTTAAATATCTGTTTAATAAAAAAATGAATTATATATTTCATGAATTGATGAACTTTTATTTCAACTTTCCTTAAATTACAAATGACATGAAAAAAAAAATTTATTTTCCAATCCATCCGATGTTTCAACAAAAAAAATTTTAAAAAATTGATTCAAATAATTTTTATCAAATAAATATTTACTTGAACCAAATAATTTTTATTTAAATTAAATAAACTCAACTGTATTTGAAATAATAATTTCTGTATTTAAAAACAAATACCATTTAATTGACTTTATAATTATTTCGTTCAAGTAAATATTTGATAATTAGTAAAGAAACCTGTTTGTTTGAATCAAATAAATTTTTTTCAATTTATTTAACATTTGTGATGAAAAAGGTAAGTAATATTGTTTTTATTTTTTCTATAAAAGTTTCTTTATTGTTTTTTGTTTTTACGTGAAATATACAAATGAATGTGAATTTCTCTTTTTTTTTGTTCGCACTGATTGCATTTTTAATATACATGGCAGATAATTTTCATCGTGATTATGTTCGTGAAGTAAGTTTCTTAGAAAAGACTATAATATATATATTTATATATAAACATCGCCAAAAGAATATGTCATATCATTAACTTGTATAAATAAAGAAACAATATTCTCTTTTTCTATGTAAACAATTTTCTTTTTAATATTCTACGGATTATATCTAACTACTATTTACATATTTATAATATATATTTTTTTTTATATATTCGTATTATATAATTAGATTCGCAGTTTAAAATTGATATATTCACAATTTTCAGTCAGAGAGTAGAGGTCAATTTGATTTATTAATTATATTTATATATTTATAGCAATAAATTGAGAAAAATGAATTGTCGGAAAACTCATTTTGAAAAAATATATACCATCTATATATATATATATTTATATATAAGAAGGTGACAATTTTTCTCATATTTAAAAATAAATAGACTAATATTTATACATTCTATTTGGAAAATTCCCATTTTATGAAATTTTAAAATGTGATTGTATTTGAGAAAAATGTTTACGACCAAAAAATGGATTTTTACTTTTATCTGCATGATTTTAATCGAAGAAAGTACGTCTGGTTATGAATTTGATGTCAGTTTTATAAAATTCAAATTCAAAATGATAGAACGCAACGATTATGATAAACGATTTTTAAAAATGACAAATTCTATCATTTTTTGCATAAAAAATATTTTTTTATAATTTGTTCATTAATGTAAACTACAAAAAATATTTTTTAGGCAAAAAATTATAGAATTTTTCATTTTTAAAAATTATTTCTTTAAAAATCGTTTAATCTAAACGTTGCGTACTTCAGTTTCGTGAATTCATCAATTTTTAAAAATTATTTCGCCATATTGGATTCACCATTTGAAATTTTAAAAATCTGATGTCAAATTCGTAATCAGCGACCCAAAAAACCCCTAGGTAACGAGTTTCAGGAGAATCGGATAAATTTTTGAACGTCAGCCATTTTTAATAAAGCATCCGACATTTTGAATTTTGAAAATTGGTTCATTTTTATTGTCCCCACTCGCGAAAATCCCCATTTGTCATAATTCTCGTCAACTACCGCCCTCTGTTCTAGTAAAAATTTAGTGACTTTATTGTTAAAATTAAAAGTTACTATAAAGTCACTAAATTTTCACTACAGCAGGGTGCGATAGTTAACGAGAATTATGACAAATGGCGACCTAAAAAAAATCCCCAAGTGGAAACTTTCAGGCGAATCTGGTAAATTTTCGTGAAAATCTTCCGCCATTTTGGATTTTTGAAAATTTGACATCAAGTTTGCAATCAGCGTTCCTCAAAAATTGATGTTGTGGTCGTAATTAAATTTTCATTACCAATTGCCAATGAACTGGGAACTCCTTATTCTATTCTTTGTGTTACTCTAATTTGGATGAATAAATAGAAAAAAAAACCAATCGCTTTAAAATTCAGTTAATAGCCATAAATATTTTTATAAAATGAATGCTTTAAACAAATTATATGAAGCTGCTTCCACAACAGCTGAATCACATCGTCTTGAAGACGATTTTTTAGGACGATGCGTGCGAAGCCATTGCCATCTGTCGACAAAAAATTTATTTTACACGTCTACTAAAAAAAATCGTCTTCAAGACATAGAGATAATATAAATAGAGTGGAGATGGTCTGTATAGAGGCGTCCGTTTGATAGAAAGAGAACGCGATTTTAGCACCAGTAGGTGTCTCTCTTGCGCTGGTGCTTATTGAAGGACAGATACTGGTGTTAAATCTTCCTTCTCTTTCCAACCCATTCTGTTTATGTCAGGACACTTCCCTCTTACGCAGCCGCCTATACCTTGTCTACTCTATTTATATTATCTCTATGCTTCAAGACGATGCGATTTAACTTTTGTGGAAGCAGCTTAATGGAGAGATTAAAAGGTTAGTTTCCATTTTCTCCACTCGCCATTTGTCATAATTCTCCTCAACTACCGCACCCTGCTCTAGTAAAAATTTAGTAACTTTTAATTTTAAAAATAAAGTCACTAAATTTTTACTAGAGCAGGGTGCGGTAGTTGACAAGAATTATGACAAATGGCGAGTAGGGACAATGGAAACCAACCTAAAATATATTTTCGTAATATATGAGGAAAAATTGTGGTCAAAATGTTTTTTTTTTTTGGTTATTCACTAAGAACAATATAGACCATTTTGTAGAATTTCATAATAGATGGTATTTGACTAATGTTTTTTTTTATTTAAAAAAAAAGAAAAATATTTACACAATAAAGATGATATTTAATCTCTTAAAAAATTTGATTTCTGGTCCTATCTTCGATCCATAAAGTACAGTGTAAGAAGATTTCACGAGCGATAAAATTTTGTCTTTTATAATATTGGGCTAAGGTTATATAATTAGGCCTAAGGCCTCTGTCACATGGAGCAGAATAGATTTTAACCAATCAAAATTTAGTCTCTTACGGCAAGGTAATATTTGTCGTAAGAGATGAAATTTTGATTGGGTAAAATTTCTTCTGCTAATTTGCTCCATGTGACACAGTCCTAAGCAGGATAGTTTCGCGAAAGGTTGGTTTCCATTGTACCCACATGCCATTTGTCATAATTCTCATCAACTACTGCACCCTGCTCTAGTAAAAATTTAGTAACTTTATAGTAACTTTTAATTTTAACAATAAAGTCACTAAAGTTTCACTAGACCATGGTGCGGTAGTAAAAATTTAGTAACTTTATAGTAACTTCTAATTTTAACAATAAAGTCACTAAAGTTTCACTAGAGCAGGGTGCGGTAGTTGACGAGAATTATGACAAATGGCGAGTAGGGACAATGGAAACCAATCAGGCGTTCCTTAACGGGAAGCATGAGTTAGAAAAAGAAAGTGATACATTCTTGTTCCTTTCTATCTCATGCAATTTCGTTAGCTAACGACATTCGCGTATTGTGCATTGGCCTATTGTCAATTTGTATGATGACAAGAGCGATCTTTTTTTTTGAGAAGACAAAACTAATTTGGTTTGAATTTTATAATTATATTCTAAGCAAACTGCAGAATTTATTCGTGAAACTTGTTCGTAAAAATTAAGCACAAGGTATATAGAAAATGTCAGAAATGTTCTGTCCTTTACTAATCTGATCCTTTTCGTTTGTGATTATATTTTCTTTATACAATAGGATCGTAAAATCTTCTTAATTTCATGCTTCGATCTTGACACTAATATTATATAATTTACATCAATTCTAGTTTATTCCGTTGCCACCAGAGGACGATACACACTTTATGGAAACTATCACTTTTTAATCATAGTTGAGGCGTTGCAAAGGGCAAATCATTTTTTTCACTTGGTATTAATTTTTTACTTTTTCTCTCTCTCACTTTTTTTTCTTCTAAATTTTTTATTTTGTTTATTTAATGACTTTTTAGTAACCGCAAATTCACCAAATTACATAAATGCTGTCCTTCCGGTTTGATGGCATTTTAAAACGTCGTGACACTTCTATAATAATTTGATTAGTTTATGGCGTATGATGTACAGGTTAAGGCCTGAGCAGAATAGAAACGTAATCACAATCGTAAACGGAAGAATGAGTTAGAGAAGGATAGTCATATATTGTTATTCTTCTCTTACTAATTCTTCCGTTTGCGATAACGATTCCGGTTACGTTTCTATTGTGCTTAGGCTTTTAGTTTCCATTGTCCTCACTCGCCATTTGTCATAATTCTCGTCAACTACCGCACCCTGCTAGAGTAAAAATTTAGTAACTTTTAATTTTAACAATAAAGGTACTAAATTTTCACTAGAGCAGGGTGCGGTAGTTGACGAGAATTATGATAAATGGCGAGTGAGGACAATGGAAACCAGTCTACATTATTAATATACCAGAAACTAATAAAATTATTATAGAAGTGTCATGACTTTTCGAAATGCCGTCGAAACCGGAAGAACAGCATTGGTTAGTTTCCATTGTCCCCACTCGCCAAAGTTCCCAGTGGCCATTTGTCATAATTCTCGTCAACTATCGAACCCTGCTCTAGTGAAACTTTAGTGATTTTATTGTTAAAATTAAAAGTTACTATATTTTTACTAGAGCAGGGTGCGGTAGTTGACGAGAATTATAATAAATTGCGAGTGGGAACTTTGTTGAATGGAGACAATAGAAATCAACCCACTGATGTAATTGGATGAATATATTTTAGTCCAGATTAATTTCGGATTGTTTTCCTACAATTTCTGAAATAATTTCTCGAAATCAGTTTGAAATTTTAACCAGTGGATCCAGTCCGCTCAAATGTTTAACGTTTCTTCTGAATCTTTTGCTCAACGAAATTTTTATTTTATTCATTAGTCGGTTAGTTAGTTAATTCAGTTTGTTTAGTCAATTCAGTAATCTCGCAGATTTCGACAAAGTAAAAGTCGAGAGCGAAGTTTCCCCAATTTAGAAATCAATACTGGTGATTTTTAGATCCGAAATTGAGAACAAATTTCATAGAATGTTTTAGTGTGGTTCATTTTGTTAATTGTATAGTTAAGAAATAAAAATTTTCACTTGAGTTGCAGATCCTAAAGAAACGTAAAAAATCAATCCTAATCCAAATTTTATTTCTCATCACATCTTAATCGGGACTTTTATTCCAGATGAAATTTTCCCTTGACTATAATTCTTTCCAAAAAAAAACCATTTTAAAATCGGGACTCTATTACTGCCTCTTCATCTACAAAAGTGACGTGTTTCGATCGAGTGTTGTTGCCCTCTGGGGGCAACCCCTAATGCTATACGGATATCTCCTGAATTTGAACGCGTTTCTTAATTGTACCGCTTGTCGAACTCAGGGAACTTGTTGTCCTGGCAGGTGGTTTAGGTGGTGTCAAATCTTTTTGACCTGTTTTTGATCCAGGTCGTTCGGGATCGGATGGCGAACGTTGCTCCTTAGGAATTCCCGACGATGAACTACGAGTTAAAGTTGTATATAGTGGAGGTGGTTCTGGACCTGTTTTTGGCTCTTCACGACTTGTTTCACCACGTGAACTCATTGGAACAGCCTCTTGATTATTTGGACAACAATGCATTGCGGCACGTTTCTTGTCACGATCACGTTGATAATAAATTCCAGCGAAAATCAACATATTGAGAACAAGGAGAATACAACCAACACCAACGGTGATTGCAAGTGCAGTTGTGGTACTGTAATAATGACGAGAGGCAAGTCGTTGAAGAAGTTCGGCGTCGTCTTCATTGTCATCAAGAACATCCGATGGATCATCAGTGACGAGATCTTCTAATGACGAAGAGCAAAGAATTGTTGGATACGTCACTGATTTGCTAGTTTCTGGTAGTGGAGGTGGAATATACCATTCGTCACGAACTGCACCTGAAGTAATAAAATTTTCTAATTACAAATCTAAAGTTTATTCTCTTGTCTATAACTACATGGAGAAAAATGATTTAGCTGTAGCAATAAATATAAATTAGCTGAAATCAATTAGGTTGTGCAAATGATTTTGCTGATACAGCAAGTTATTTTCTATTGCAGCTAATATATATTTGCTACATTTGATAAAAAGTGTTAGCTGCCACACAGCTAAGGATTATCACGTCCGTGCGTGTAAACTCCGTATCCAGCGGGCATTGCGGCGTGACGACAGTTTTACATTGGGGTTGGTTTCAATTGTGACCACTCGCCATTTGTCATAATTCTTGTCAACTACCGAACCCTGTTCTAGTAAAAATTTAGTGACTTTATTGTTAAAATTAAAAGGTACTATTGGGATCTCTTGTACTGTAAGACGCTCTCTGGTGAAAATTTTTGTAACCCTCGAGAGTAGGTCGTTTTGTCTGATTTTGTCCAACTTCCACCAATCAGTGTAGGTTTTTAACGCGGTGTCGAAAAATGGTACTACTGAGAGGAGGTTAAATGATTAAGCCACGCCCCACAAGAGATCCCAATATAAAGTTACTAAATTTTTACAAGAGCAGCGTGCGGTAGTTGACGAGAATTATGACAAATTGCGAGTGGGGATTTTGGCAAGTGGGGACAAAGAAAACCAACCTTTGCGTCAAAAGACATGGACAGTTAACCGTGGAAAAGTTTTGTTAAATCCAATGATATATTATTAAGTAATCTTCTATTATATTAAGTTAACAAATTTCCAAAAGCGACACCGACACCGTGACCTCGACACCGTCCTTGGAAAATCTATTTTCACTTATTTTCAAATAAATCAAAATACTTTGCCATATGCTTTTAGAAAATCTTACATACTTTTTTTTGTAACATGTTTTTTTAGTTTTAACCCGAAAAAGGGTTATTTTGCATTTTCATCCCAAAAAAGGGTTATTTTGCAATTTTATGCAATTTTTTTACGAATTTTTTTATATATACTTTTAAAATCTCTTTATAAAGGTTTACTCTGGATAATAAAAATAAAAACCGATATTTTTTCGATTATAAATTAAAACATTTAATATTTAACAATTGTCATTTCATCCTTCAATGATACTGATCAAAATTAAGATAAATTTTATACAATATTAATAATATATTAATTTAAAACATAAATTATATATATAATATACATAAACTACAATAAGTAAACAACAATAAGTTCAACTATAACCGAGCGAGGAATACATCGCTAGTATTAATTATTATTCAAAAATGTTGAATGAAAAACTAGTGCAGCTTCTGTAAAAATAGGAGATGGGAGAATTTATAAATGCTTTGAAAGATAACGAATTCAGTTTTGCACATTTAACCGAAAAATGAAAATTAAATATTTGATTATTAGAACAAAATTTTTATATAAAATAAAAGAAAATATTTAAAAATCAATTTTTATCGAAATTCCAATAATAATTTCTGCCGGAATGCCATAGGATTTCGCGTCGAAATCCAAGGGAAATAATTATGAGAATTTAGTCGAAAATGGAAAAGCTCCCTGAAAATACAGTCCAAATTCTAAAAATAATTTCCACTCGAATTGTTTCCTTTTCCTTAGGTAACGGAAGAAATCCTTGGTTATTCCGTTTAAAATCCGAGTTTCATTTTAATTTTCATCGAAAAATAATTAAATTATCAGAATTGTGGAATTTTTCCAAACGGGATTTTTAATTCAATATAAAATAGTTAAGTAGAAAAATATAGATTAAGAACTGTAAAGAATTTATTTTTCTAAACCGTATTATAATGTATTTAAATTAACTTTTTCAAAATATTAAAAGATTCTATCATATAGAAAAAAAATTCAAAAGAAAAATTATTACTGTTTTAATAAAACTCAGTATCTAGAATTTAAAAAATTTCTCACCCATGAAATATTTATTCGAACAATTTTTTTTTTCCTCGCGGGTAATAAAATATGTCAGTAAATGTACGCCTCTAAAATCTATCTCTAAATTTAAAATATCAGTTTCCCGAGCAAATGATAATATTAATAATACAATAATTTTAATAATAATAACAATAATAATAATAATAATAATAATAATAATAGGATATTTCATTTGTTGAAAGAGAGAATTTAATTTAAACTAATTTCATCGTTTTATCTCTATTTGTGAAATTGATTTTATGTCTGAACTCTTTCAATATATCAAAGCGACTTTGCGTGTCTACTTTGACATTTTATGTGCTTTTTTATGAGAGGAAATATCCATACAAATATCGAACGCCAAACGGTGTTGAAGTATAGGATAACAAAACAACTATATTTACTTAGATTGATTCATATCTCTTTTTCCATATACCGAGAATTTTAACCCTAGAGCAAATAAAAACAGTTTAATAGAAAAATGTTGACGAAATTGAATCGTTGATACAAATCTTTTTATATTGTGGAATATAGTTATTTCAATTTTTTAAATTTTGTTTAGTTTATTCAATTTTAATTATTGGAATTATTATATAATTTAAAAAAAAAACGGATTTAATTGATATTCAGGAAAAATTTCTTATTCATTAGCCATATTGGACTCCAAATGTTGAATTTTTACTTATAAATAAGATTTAATTTACATTTTTTTATAAAAATTATAAATTTTTTTTTTTTAATAAATAGCAAGAATTTATTATTTTGATTTTAAATATGCATTACTTTTTTTTATGTTTTTACCTGCATAGTACTGATCTCCTTTCTCGCGAAAATGATGATGACGCATTGATACATCTTCATCTCCGGGTTGATGGAGTTGCGGAATTAGATTCAGCCATAATGCCATTTTGTGACCCCGATAATGGCTCTTCATCTTTGGCTTTTGAGCTGCAAGAAGGAAAGACGGTTATTACATGTTCATTAAAGCAGCTTATTACAATTTCAATCTGAATTTTATACTCCTGGAATTGATATTAAAATGACGGATTGAATTCTTTTTTCCAGTCTTTAGCAAATAATATAGAAAAAAAAATAATTTATAATTAAGTAATAATTATTATTTATATAAATAAAATTTTTTTACCTATCATTAGATATTGTTGGTTATTGGTATCGTATTCTTCCCAAAGAAGACCTCGAAATCGTGTTTTCTCTCTGGCATTTCCGTAGTCGACCGATTCGATATTGTGAGGTAAGTTGGGATTCGAGGTCTTGGCAAAATTTGTGATGAATGTTAGCATGGCTTCACCAACACTTTGATCTTGCTTGGTGTAATTGTGAGGAAAGAATCGACCGCCGGAAACCAAAGGGAGTCCAAAAATGTACGGTATGTCTTCGCCTCGGGCACTTCCAAGCCGCTGCAAAAGTTGAATTGTAAAGCAAGAAAACTCGTTGGGATTTTCTTTCCTTTCAGCTTTTAATAATAAAATTTTTCAACATATAAAAAATTAATTTATAATAATAATTATCCATTTTAATTAATAATTATATATCTAATAATAATAATTTCATAATTTATAAAAATATTTCATTACATTTTACGATTTTATTTTTCCCTTTTCCCTAACATGAAGGGATGGATTCTATTATATAAATAGCAGTAGTAAAATTGATCAATGGTATTCATAAACATCTGCATAATTTATTCGATTTACAAACAGCTGTAATAAAAAAAAATTGTTTATTCCTTTTTATTATGTTTCCTTATAAATGTAAAGTCTAGGGGGAATCGAAATTCTTTCTATGAAAACTGAACGCAAATAACATATTGTTATATTCAAACAATACGAGAGGCAAATGACAATGTTCCCAAGGAGCTTTCAGGAGATTAAACTGAATATGTAATTAACCAAGACGTTGTGTAACATCTTTGCGTAAGGATGTTCCATTTGAAATTCTAGTTCTCAACGCATACCTATATATCCATTATAGAAACAGTCGTCATGATCAAGATAAGGATATATTTATCTAATCTAAAATTCCCATTTGGAAAAATTTTCCCGAATGTCTCTGGGGATATTCCTTCCGAATTTCGCAATTATCGAAATTATTCCAATGGAATCTATACAGGGAGCTCTTTTCAGTGGAAAGGGAAACAAAATCCCAATGGGAGTTATCAGAATTCTAGAGGAATATTTAGCTATTGCGATTTCGGCAAAATTTTCATAATTCCCTTCCGTTATCTTCGGAAAAGGAAATAAAATTATGCGGAAAATTATTAATGTACTTAGATGAAGTAAATTTCCGGTGAAATTCTCATATTTCCTTTGGTTTTACGCTTGTAAAGGGAAATGGATTTCCCACGAAATCGACAAAATGTTCTTCCGTCCGAAAAGGAAATGGAATTCCAGCGAAAATAATTATTGGAACTCGAATGAAATCTCGAGGGATTTCTTCCATTTTCGTTGGATTTCGATAAATTCCCTTATTTTTTTTTTTAAATGGAAACTGAAAGGAAATTCCGAAATCTCACGGGAGCACTTCCCGAGGAATCATTCCCAAATGAAAATTGTAACACAAAATATTATTTCCACAGCGTTTTTCTAATAATTCAATTAAGACGATACTGCAAGGCGTGAAACACAGAAATAATATTATACTAAAAATCTAATTATGATAATTATAATTATACAAAAATGTTCGTGTGTTCACTTTTTAAATGTGTTTTCTCAGAAAACTACTAACATGGGTTGCGACCTCCTTGCTGCAATTCCAAATTCAAATGAAATTAGCTTTTTCTCTCTTTCCCTCCACTAGCAATGGCGAAGCCATCTCTAATCTCGAAATCCTTTTTTAATCTCGTGTGTATGTAAATTGGGGAATGGCAAACACTTTATTCGGATGAAAACGCTTGCAGAAGACCCCAAACGGAGCACGTATTACATACGCGTGTGCTCCGTCTGTCCTAATTACGCTCATTAATTTCCATGTAAAACGAGATTTTGCGTACTGATATGCGAGACGACTGTAAACAAAAAGCAGTCAGCTCTAAATGCTGTTATGGTTTAAGACCCAACTAAACGTGTCATAAACTCTTCCCACATTGAAGAACGGATGATTTTCAAGAAAATGATGATTAATTCAAACGTAGCGGAAATTTGTCAAAAAGATTGAAATAATTGTTCACCACAATTTATTTTATAATTATTTTATTATTAATTAATTCTAATTTCCCTTTTTGTTTGAAAGATTCCCAACGTAGTCAGAATTGATAACGGAACGTATCCTATAATTAATTTTGTACAATTATTATATTTATATTAGGTATATTAATTATATTAAGTAATTTAATTCTTAATTTAATTATGTTATTGGAAATTGATTATCATATGTAATTTAATTATTATTGATTAATAACTACAATTACCCTCTTGTCAGAAATATGCTATTAATTTTCTTCGGAACTCCCTCGAGATTCTATTGAAATTCCTTTAATAATTTTAATGGAATTCTACTTCCTTTTCTGGCGAAAGGAATTCTTGTCGATTCCATGGGATATCTATTTCCCTTTACGACCAAAAACCAAGGGAAATAATTATGGTAATTACTGTGGAGATTTCGTCGGAATTCTGATAATAATTTATATCGGAAATTTTTTCCTTTTTCTTTGATAACGGAACGTATCCCATAATTAATTTCATATTTTATATTTGTATTATAATTAATGGTATTATTTAATTTATTCATTCAATAGTAATTTAATTCGATTATTTTATTAAAAATTTTATTACAAATTAATTATTATATCTAATTCAATTATTAATTAATTAATAACTACAATTAATCTCTCCCTATCAGAAATCTCCTATTAATTTTCTTTCGAAACTCTCTCGAGATTCTAACGAAATTCCTTTTGGAATCCTTTTTCCTATTTTGCCGAAAGGTCATCCTGATGATTTCGTCGAAATTCCGCATTTACGTTGGAAATCCAAAGGAAATAATTATGGGAATATAGCCAAAAATGAAAAATCCCTATGAAAATACCGTCCGAATTCTAAAAATAATTCCCACTGGAATTGTTTCCTCTTCCTTTGGTAACAGAAGGGATCCCTGGGTATTCCGTCCAAAATCCGAGTTCTATTTCAATTTTTGTTGAAAAATAATTAAATTATCAGAATTGTGGAGTTTTTCCAAATGGCAGTTTTAATTCGATATAAAATAGTAAAAGTAGATTAAGAACCGTAAATAATTTTGTTTTTCTGAACAATTATGAATTATTAATTAATTCCAGTTTCCCTTTTCGTTTGAAAGATTTTCAACGTAGGATTAAAAACCAAGGGGGAAAAATTTTAAAACAACTTTTATAAAAAGGTAATTAGCGGATATTTTTGTAACTCCAAAATTTTCGTAGAAAACCTAAAAAAAATCTTGTCAAAAACTGTCAGCGCCTACTTATTTCTGTTAAAGTAATTTTGAATGGAAGAACAAAGTACTTTTTTTTTTATTTCCACTTTTATTCTTTAAAGCTTCCTTCTTTTTTTGGAGGGGGCACTTAAATCATACAAGACTTGGCTAACTCTCGTCTAAGTGCTTTTTTCCATATAGTATAGAAACTTTTTTACGATGAAATTATGTCAAAAAGGTCTCCCTCCTTTTTTCTTATTCGTCGCTTGCGGTCAGGTGAGGTTCTTCTTGAGAGTTAGAGGCGCAGAGGTTTCAAGATGGTAGAGTGATTAAATTAGAAAGCTCGAGAACCCTGAAGACATTGCATCGCCTGGCGTATTCGAGGATGGAAACGAGTAGAGAGGAAGATAAGAGAGTTTTACAAAACTAGAATTAATCTCGACACTCCCCTCTTTCTCTCTCTCTCTCTTTCTCTATCGTATATAGTCTCACTACTTCAACCCGAAAAGGCGTCTTCACCTCCAAACCATCCCGCCCCCAAACGCCATGATCAACGATAAATTTTCCAAAGTTTAAGATTCAATTAGCGGGACAGATTCTATTAGGCTCCGTGTGCTAAACGGCGGAAAACACTAGCGACACATTTTGTGAATTATTTCGCATAGATTTGAAAATTGTTCAAAATTTAAATATTCTTCCGGATTATTATTGATGAAATCTCTTCAATTAGACGGAAAATTAGATGTAAGGGAGAATTAATTAGAACGTATCGCCTAAAGTCCCGATTGTCAGCGTCGTTATCTGAGTTTCCATATTGGTTACCGTCAAAATCGTCCCTGGAAAAAAGGTGGAGCTATGGGATTGATGAAGGAGAATAGGAAAACAATTTCATAAGTTTTTGCCTAAATATTCATTTTTTCAGTGGATGACATTCATGCAAAAAAAAAAATTCATTCATAAATATACAAAAAAAAGCAAATATTAAATAATAAAATATAATAAATTTTCAACTTCCCTTCATGACAAAACAAAATAGTAATAAAAATGTCACAATCAGAGATGAAAAATTATTCAAGAATTTTAATTTAAATCATGACAATGTTAGTTTGCCAAGGAAAATTGATGAACAACTAATCTATAGAAGCCAAAGAGGAAACATGCCGTTCGCTCTTCCTGGCTAGACAAACCGGAAGCGGTGTTCGGACCTTCCTTTATGGCCCAAACTCTCTTTTATGTGCTTTAACGTCTACATATATATACATACATATATATATATATAGAGAGAGAGAGAGAGTTTGCCTCTTTCGAAGTACGAGCGCGCTTGGTTTTCGCTGAAAATCGATGAGACCGCCGTTCAACCCAGGACAAGGAAAATGCATGTGATCAAATTTGCATCGACCACTTCTCGCCCTAAAACGAGATCTGCTTAATCCAGTGATGGTCAGCGTTTACTGGAAGACTTATCGCGATCGGATATCGGCTCTCTCGTTTAAACATACGTTAAAGCTGATACGAGACGGATTAGAATAAGCCACTGAACGAGAAATTCATTTGATATCCTGTATGTTTAAAATAGGCTACATTATAATTGACACGGTTTTTTTTATTGAAAAATGATTTCTTTTTTATTTTAGCTAAGATTAGAAATTTTTTTAGGCAATTAACGCATTTTTAAATTTAATAATTAATTGTAGGAAGAGAAAATACAATTATCTAATGGAGGAATTGTTTTATTAAAATATATTAAACTATAAATTCCGATAGAAATTATTATCAGAATTCCCCAAAAAAAATCTCGAGGAAGGCTTTTTATTTCCATCGAAATTATCATAATTATTTCTCTTGGATTTCCGTCATAAAGGGAATTTTGACGAAATCGTTAAGATTACCTTTCGGCAGAACAGGAAATAGAATTCCAAAAGGAATTTTGTTAGAATCTCCAATTTCGAAGAAAATTAATAGCAGATTTCTGATGGGGAGAGATTAATTATAGTTATTAATAAATTTATAATTAAATTAGATATAATAATTAATTTGTAATAAAATTTTTAATATAATAATTGAATTAAATAACTATTGAATGAATAAATTAAATAATACAATTAATTATAATATAAAATATAAAAAATTAATTATAGGATACGTTTCGTTATCAGTGGAAAAGGAAATAAATTTCCGGTATAAATTATTATCAGAATTCCGACGAAATCTCCACCAAAATTACCATAATTATTTCCATTCGTTTTTAGTCGTAAATGGAAATAGATATCCCATGGAATCGTCAGGAATTTCTTTCACCAGAGAAGGAAGTAGAATTCCATTAAAATTATTAAAGGAATTTCAATAGAATCTCGAGGGAGTTCCGAAGAAAATTAATAGCAAATTTTTGACGACGAAAGGTTAATTGTAGTTATTAATTAATTAATAATTAAATTATATATAATAACTAATTTCTAATAAAATAATTAAATTAATAATTAAATTAATTAATATAATAATTAATTGTAGGAAGAGAAAATACAATTACCTAATGGAGGTATTGATTTATTATAATATATTAAACTATAAATTCCGATAGAAATTATTATCAGAATTCCCAAAGAAAAACCTCGAGGAAGGCTTTTTATTTCCATCGAAATTATCATAATTATTTCCGTTGCATTTCCGCCATAAAGGGAATTTTGACGAAATCGTTAAGATTACCTTTCGGTAGAACAGGAAATAGAATTCCAAAAGGAATTTTGTTAGAATCTCCAATTTCGAAGAAAATTAATAGCAGATTTCTGATGGGGAGAGATTAGTTATAGTTATTAATTAATTAATAATTAAATTAGATATTATAATTAATTTGTAATAAAATTTTTAATATAATAATCGAATTAAATTACTATTGAATGAATAAATTAAATAATACAATTAATTATAATATAAAATATAAAAAATTAATTATAGGATACGTTTCGTTATCAGTGGAAAAGGAAAAAAAATTCCGGTATAAATGATTATGAGAATTCCGACGAAATCTCCACCGAAATTACCATAAATATTTCCCTTGGTTTTTGGTCGTAAATGGAAATAGATATCCGATGGAATAGTCAGGAATTTCTTTCGCCAGAGAAGGAAGTAGAATTCCATTAAAATTATTAAAGGAATTTCAATAGAATCTCGAGGGAGTTCCGAAGAAAATTAATAGCAAATTTCTGATGGGGAGAGATTAATTATAGTTATTAATTAATTAATAATTAAATTAGATATAATAATTAATTTGTAATAAAATTTTTAATATAATAATCGAATTAAATTACTATGGAATGAATAAATTAAATAATACAATTAATTGTATTATAAAAAATTAATTATGGGATACGGTTCGTTATCAGTGGAAAAGGAAATAAAATTCCGGTATAAATTATTATCAGAATTCCAACGAAATCTCCATCGAAATCACCATAATTATTTCCCTTGGTTTTCGGTCGTAAATGGAAATAGATATCCGATGGAATCGTCAGGAATTTCTTTCGCCAGAGAAGGAAGTAGAATTCCATTAAAATTATTAAAAGAATTTCAATAGAATCTCGAGGAAGTTCCGAAGAAAATTAATAGCAAATTTCTGACGACGAAAGGTTAATTGTAGTTATTAGTTAATTAATAATTAAATTATATATAATAACTAATTTCTAATAAAATAATTAAATTAATTAATATAATTAATATACATAATAAAAATATAATAATTATACAAAATTAATTATAGGATACGTTTCTTTATTAATTCCGACTAAATCTCTAGAAATCTTTTCCGTTTCCGGCGAAATTTTTATAATTATTTTTTTTCCTTGGATTTCTGTTTAAAATAAAAACACAATTTCGCTGGAAATTATTACTGGAATAAAAGATTTTGAGAAACAATAACGTAGGTAGAGTTTGGAAATTTAATTCCTGGAGTATTTAGAAATTACTTTATAATTAATTATTTCAGAATTAATTCTATAGAACAAAATTAATTCGTATAAAAATTTCAAATTCAAGTTTAACTTATCAAAAAATTACAAAATAAATATACGAGGTCTCCTAATTCATGATTAATCATCATGATTAAGCATTTGAAATCGGATCAGTTTAAAATCAATTAGAAATCAAACTATATATAGAGAAAAAAACCTCAATTGTGGAGTTAATTAAAAACGATTGTTTCAAAGATCATTTCTGTGACCAATTTCTAGGTTTAATTATAGAGCCGATTCAAGGGCCAATTCCAGAGAAAGTTTATGATCACTACCAGAAGCAATTTTATAAGACCAATCCTAGGAACAATCCGTATAGATCAATTCTATTATTAAGAAAACAGTTAAAACCAAAAAAAAATAATTTTCTAAAAATAAAGATTTCATAGTAAGTACTTCGGATTCTAATTGATATGGAATTTAATTTTTTTTAAGTTTGACAAAGTACAGTATTTGAAGTTGGCAAGTCACAACATTCATGTATGTTTATGTGTATGACTAAACTGAGAAATTAATATGAAGACATAATGTTATTTCAATGTTAAATTTAGTATTAACATCACATGCAACAAACTTTAGCCTGAAGGTGTTATTTCAATACAAAATCTATCTATATATAGTAATGCATGCAAAGACGCAAAACGTGGGTTTCCTTGTCTCCTTGTTTCTGATCGTCTTTGTGTTGTCGCTTTCTTATTGTTAGCTTAGCATATTGTTTCTGCATATAACTTATATATTTTGATGCAAATATTTAAGTAAAAAATTGAATTCCAATATATCGGATAAAATTAATTTCATTCATCAGGTAAAGTTGATTTTAAATAAATTATTGACATTTAATTTATTTACAAATTAATAAACGAGGTTTGACTTTCGTCAAATTTTATTAGAAATGATTATGTGTATAATTAATCGGCGCTAAGATTCACGTGGTCAACGTCCCTTCCAGTTTTCCCTTTAGGTGCTGATAAGTTGAAGGAGATTCATTAGTCTAATTGTTAATTGGTTATTTTATAATATAGTTTTTGTTTAAATAAATTAGAAAAAATCGTTAATGTATCGTGTTTAATTTGTGAATTTCTTTCCTCCCTGCTTTTCTATAGAAAAGATCGACAATGAAAAGCGTTACCGAAGCAAAAAGGACAACGTTATTGTAACAATTTAAAGATAAAGTGAAATAAATTTCCTAGCTACGAAAAGGAAAACCTTATGTAATTGTCTAAAGTCCGAGAGAGAAAAAGAAAATCGTTACCAAAATAATAAGGAAAATCTTGTTTTAATTAAATTCTAAAGAAATGCGCCGAAATTTTTTTCTGTTTTAAATTTTTCATATATTTATCAAAGCAGAGTGAAACTACACTATTTCAAAAAAGAATTTTCCATACAGTGTTGTCAGATATGATATTGTAAATAGAGCAGCGGAAGATGAGGGTACAACAAAATTGATCATAAAGTTATAAAAGGTATGTAGGATATAGAATAAAATTATAGTTAACCATTGAAAAGACGAAGATGTGGGTTGTGTGGTTAAGGGAAAAGGAAAAAGGAGATAAATGGTTTTGGTAAAAAGGAAGAAAAAAAGTTTTAGAGAAGTTAAGGAAGCTGGTTTAAATATTTAGGATATATATTAAAAGAGAATGGTGACCTAGGGTCACATATATAAAGGAAAGAGTGAAAAAAGACGGCAGCTGAGATGAATCTGGTTTAGAAGGATAAGGAAGAGAAAATTCATAGAGAACTAAAAGTAATGGTCACATTATTTGATACATTACTTTAATATTTTAATATATACAATGTGAAACGAAGAAACTTTTTCCCAAAACAAATTTAGAAATGAATTCGTATTTTTGCTTTTTTTGTGTCAATGGAAGAAAGTAAGATTATGTGACGTGAAAATATTTCTTTTTGGAGAAATAAAATGATCAAATATCTTTAGAATAAGAGTTAGGGTCAAAAGGTCAATAGTTCGCCCCTCTGACCTTACATCGATCATAGAATTCATAGTGCCAATAGTTCGATATATTGGCGCATTGCCAAAATTCACTGGACACGCTCTTTACTCTTTGTCCGACTCTAAATGTGGTGAGACGTGATCTCGTATGTGACTTTTGAAATTATTTGACAATCTTAACTATTGAAAAATTGAAAGTCTCCGAATAATTGTATAAATCCCTAGCGAATTGGAAACTATTGTAACGTCTTAATGTGTTATCCGTTTCATCAAAATCGTGTTTCTTTAGTATAAATTGTTTATTTCTTCCTTTTAGAACCAATAATGAAATACTAAACCTTAAATGGTAAACACTTGCAGGTTGCACTTTGAAATTTATAAAATTCATAAAAATCGAAAACATTTGTAATCAATGAAATGTAAAAAATATAACTATAAAATCGACATAAAAGTCTATGAGTGCATCCTTTAGACCTCCCACTTTATATCAAGGTTCCAAGGTAGTGCTAATTATTGCTCATTTATCGCATATTCATAGTCAGTATTTAACTGTAATTTTCATTAAATTTAATTAATGTTCCACATTATTTCCACTTACTATGAATGTGCGACGAATTTATCGCACATTCATATTTACCAATCCGACAGGATAATTAACGTCTTATTATAGAAATACTAAATTAGCGACGTTAAGTCATTTTCTACTTTTTCATTTTAATTTTCCAATTCAATTAAAGAAAAGAATTTTTTTAAAAAATTTTTTGTTGAAAAAAAATGGAGAAAAACTCACCTGAGGATAATCACTATCCTTTGTCTGATAATTAAAATGAAAAAAGTAAGTTTTGGCCCCTCTTCTTGCATGATAGAATGCGATCCTCATCAGTGGTGCCACTGTATGTCCATCGCTCAATGCCTCCATAGTTGAGTCTCTAATATTGATGGGGTGCAAGATTGGCTTGTCCCAATCAGTGTACTCGTTTTTCACCGATGAAAAGATCTCATTGAGATGATAGTAGTAAGTGTTCCTGATGAAAGTGCGCAGGATCCGATTGCGCTGATCTTCCTCGAAACCATATTGAATGTCTTCGGTGTTAAAATCCAAGTAGGACTCAGCTGTTGAGACTCCCAACATCAGTGGAACTTCAATGAAAGCATCGCTTGCACGTTCCATATCAAGTCCAGGGTCTGGATTACTTTGATCAATAGGTATAATAGGACCTATTTGAGGCACAAACCTTAAAGGAATAAAAAAAAAGTAAAACCTTTATTCAATGATCTAGAATAATTTTTTAGTGAATTAATTTTTACAATATTGAATTTTTTTAATGAGATCAAATTTATAAGCTAAATAAAATTCAAAAATTGTTAGAGGCTACAGAAATATAAATTCTATTAAATATAGAGGCGAGTGAGTCAATTTAATTTTCTCAAAAATGATTTAAAACTTTAAATATAAAAAAAAAGTTATTTATATTGAAATTGATCGTCTGCCTACTCTCCTCTATATGTAGCAGAATAAACAATTCAAAAAGAATTAACACATTTCTAAAAAAATCCAAAATTTTGTTATCTAAATTTGATTTTCAGTTTTTAAATTACATTTTTCTGTACAAACTCATAATTTATAAAACACAGAGCTTTTTAATTTCGATGACAGTATTTTAAAAAAATAATTTACTGATTTATGTCGTTACCAATATTTCGAAGGTATGTTAACAATTTACTATTTTAAACATATTTTTTTTTATTTGTTCTAATATCATGTATTTTTTTTTCGTTGGACGCTATTGTTTAAAATTAACATTTTTTTACCCTTTGTGAAAAATTATTCCTGTACCGCAGTTTGATGCAATATTCAGGAATATTCTCTTTTTTCACTCGCTTGTAGCTTGAAGGTTTTCTTCTTTTTTTTAAGCTTTTTTGTATTTCAAATATATATATAACGTTGAAAATAGTATAAAAGACTATTTATTTAAAATCAAATTTATTTTTTAGTTTATATAAACTTTATTAATTGATAGCACAATTATATTAATGCATGATTTTTCTATTTCTGCAAGGATTAACTGGGAAATGTATTTTTTATAATAGGATGAATTTTTGTTCAACTTATTATGGGAAAAATTGTTTAACTAGTGGGATTTAGTAGTATTATCAACTAATAAAATGCTAACCTAGTTTTATTTTAATTTTATAAATAGGTTGTAGTCTGCAATTTTTAGTTTCTAGAAGTAGGGTAAGAGGTACAGTTGTGGACATCCCTGTGTAATTTTTGACAAAAAACAAATGAATCAAATCTGACAAATTTCAAATGTGTGCTATGTCAGTACGTAGTTTTTTATTCAAATAGCAGAGACAACAGAGACCCGTGCTTTGCGCTGTTAAGAAATTAGTTTTTTCATACGAGTAGATTGGCATAAAAGTTTTTTTTAAAATCATTTTTCATAGTGCTACAAAAGTTGATGTAAATCAATCGAGAATGTAAGAGCAATGCATATTTACATAGTAAATGTATTATATTTTATGATTCAGTAGTCTTTGCATTGTAAAGGGACTGAAAATTATATTTTCTGTTGTTGATTTTCCGCTGAAGGTTTTTGAAATAAATAAATTGTTACTTTTTTCCTTATCTGAGGTGATAAACATAAGCCTAAAGCCTCTAGCTTTCTAAAGATATGCATATGCCCCACGAAACAAAATGCTCTTTTCTACAGCTGCGAATAACCGTAGTCGTACTCTTTCTATTCTGTATTAGAACGGTACACACCCCTCCTTTAATGTTCAACTGAGAGAGAAGGACTCAACTTTGGCTTCCAAAATTAGGGTGAAAAATATATAGCACGGCAATAAAATTTTATCTATTCTCTTACAAAAATTCAGTATAAAAGGACTACATTTTTACGGAGAGACCAGTTCTGAAATCCTCTTCATACGTATTACATCAAGCTCATTTTTGGTACCAGTCGACGTCTTCTAGTTCAAGTGCATAATTTTCTTATACGAAAGTTAAAGTCAAGTGTCAAAGCCCTCTACATTAAACGAGGATCTTTTCTTCTCATTATATTGGGCAATTATCCATTCTTCCTTTTTTTGGAAGAGACTCATTATTGGGAGTTTCATCACGCCTAATAGAACTCCGGACCTGCGGTTATATCTGGGCCCGTCAACCTTCCTGACGTCATAAACTCACGCTGGTACCAGCTGTTTTCCTTTGACAACAAAGGACACAGCAGTGGTCCTTTTTCTTTCAACACACCTACTACTGAATTTTAAGGTAAGTGTTTTATATTCTCACTCCTAACTTTTCTAAACTTGTCGTTTATTTGCATTCCTTATTTCAGTTGAATGCTGAACTCTATTTCCTGGATTGGTTGGTTCGAGATTCCCTCTCTCTCATAAGAGCAAATTGTTTTAACTAAAAATATTTGTCTAAATAAATTGTAACCTAATTATAAAATTAATCACTATTCTCTTTCTTTCCTGTACCCTTAGTTAATAACCTTCTGCTCTGTAAATGAAACAGGTATACCCTGAATCACCAAGCGGCCATAAATAAAATAAAATATTATTTCGTTAGTTATTTCTCTATTTGAGACGTAACAGTAAGGTCATAATGAAGTAAAGGGAAAATGTTGCGAAGTGAAAGTGAAATGTAAATGAAGTGAATGATAAGTGTAAATGATGTGAAATTAAAGTCAAGGAAATTGAAAGAGAAAGTAACAGAAAATAAAATGAATATGAAGGAAATGCGAAGTAAAAATAGGATGAAGTGTGAGTAAAGTCAAAATGAAGTGAAGTGAAATTACAGTCGAAATAAAGTGAAACGAAAGTGTATTGAAACTAAAAATGATGTGAAGCGAAAATACGTTGAAGTGAGAGTAAAGTCAAAATGAAGTAAAAGGAACGTAAATAGAAAATGAAGTGAAGGAAAAATAATGCAATATGAAAATAAGGTCAAAATGAAGTGATAGGAATATGAATTGAAAATGAAGTGAAACTATTAAAGTAAAAAATAGATGAAGTGATAATGAAGCGAAATTATAGAATAGACTCTTTTAATGATAATATAACAAAAATTTCCCCTTATAAAATTCAACTATAAATAAAAATTGAACATTATACAATTTTTTTGTTCAAATAATAATGGATTTTAAAGAAATGTTCTCTTTCGAATAATTTACAATTTAAAAAACCGAATATAGAACTTTTTTTTACCTAATTTCAGGAAGCTCTAGATTGAGCAACGTTGTAAGATCCGCTTCTCGAATACAATCTGCAATATCATCATCTTCACTGGTACAATTCAATTGCTGGGAAATTTTAATATGCAAATCGTTAGGGTTGTGAATTGAAGCCCATGGACTAAGGGCGGATCCGCTGAGTAAGACGATTCGATGAAAAAGACCTGTAATCAAATAAACATTATATTATCATTTTCTCATTTTGAAGAAGATTTAAAAACATACAAATTTTAACTTATTTCAATATTTATAGAGTTTTTTTTAACTGTAAAAATTATATTTTTTATCAAAGTAGAAAAACAACATAAATAAATTTTATATGTACTTTTTTTTATTATTCTCGAGAGAATTAGGTTGAATTCGAACCATAAAATAATTAAAAGTAGTAAAAAAAAATGTTCTTTTTTTCGTCTTATTTGAAATTTTATTTCATGAGACAATGAGAGCGTTGTATGTTGGTGAAAAGATAGCAGTTTTCATTTGTTTCAGCTGGCTGTAAGTGGCTTTATAGTGCTGCCATTAAAAGATGACGAGTTCACGGCGGTTTCCTTGGCTCCGTATCAACTTCTGGAACGTTGCCAATATTGATATGGCGAATGTAACTGATAAATAGTTAGTCACTGCTTAAATTGTGCTCGTACTCTCTTTCTCTCTTGTCTTACAAAATTAGCAGTATTTCAATAGAAATTCTATTCTTCAGAAAATTATCTTTTTTATTCACATATAAAAATATATATATATATTAAAATTATTATTAAATTCCTTTTCAATATTATATATTGGAAAAATTTAATGAAGCAAACCTATAGTATGAAAAAGTGAAAAAAGTTCAAAAAAAAAAAATTCCGAAGAACATGAACTTTTTTTCTGAATGCATATAGAAGCATAAAGAAAATAAATCTACAAAGGGTTGCTTTTGTTGGGAAAATATATAAAGAATAAACTGGATTGGAATTAGGATTTTTTTTCATAATAACATGTTTCTGAACCATCGTTTTTATTATTATTATTTGCAAGCATTCTTTTGCATATCGTAAATCTAATATCTCCTTTAAATACAAATTCTCTTCATCACATCTCTATTCACGTTCTAATATCCGTCAATGCAAGAAGGTGAGATATAGATGAAAATCATCCTTATTCAAGAGGAAGCCAATGAAGTCAAAATTGCAAGGACTGAAGACTCGAATTAGATATATATATATATATATATATATCGTAGAAGAAATTATTAAGTGAATTATGTAGTCAAGCACTTAATATTAAAACTTTATTTATCAAAAAACGAATTTCGTGTTATTTTTTTCCATTTCATTTATATTTTTTAATAAACAATGCAAATAGAAGATTATTTTTCAGAAATAATAATTATTTTATAATTCAAAAAAAGTAAAATGAGATATAAGGTTGAAAATTCAAATTGTATTTTATAAGCACAAATTATAATATTCACATTAATGCAGAATTTAAAATAGTAAATAAAAAATTCTCTTGGTTTTCAGACACCGCTAGGGATAAGTCGTTTGACAAATTCAGTACTATAAAAATTCAGTTGGTTTAATTATGGTTTTATTAAAATTATAATATTAATGAATTAATTAATATTAAATTAATTAATAATTATTTAATACTAAAATTATTAAAATTGATGGAAATTACAGTTGAATTAAATAAATAAACTATTCAATGATTGATTTTTGTGCTAAATTAAGTTAAAATTATTAAATTATAATATATTTATTAATATTATTATTATTATTAATTATAAAATTAACTCATTTATTCCATTTAAATATAATTTTCATAAATTTATATTTGATTTCCATATTATTTCCGCGCAGTATGAATGTGCAACAAATTTGTTGCACATTCATAGTTTCTGATCTTCCAGGGTAAATTAAATAGATTCCCAATAGTTTTCCCGTTGATGGATGTCCACTATCAAGAATTATGTAAATTCTTGGTAGAACTTGTTACGGTGGCGGGGGTTTTTTTTTACTAAAAAACATCCAAAAGCAAAGATGTAAGGTAAAGAGATTAAGGGACGTCGAAATCCAGTAACAACAGTTCTACAGTATTGGACACCTTGGCTACTGCAGTGTCCAATGCCACATGGACCATAGGGACACCCTGTTTCTTAATGTTCCCAAGGTTCGTTTGAAAAGACTTGGAAGTAGAGAAGGAAGCGCTTCAAGCGTTTCGAGTTTCAGCAGCGGAAGAAGTTTGATTTTGTTTGACCTAGACAACGAGACAATCGAAGAAAAACGCGAGAAGTGTTTAAAGCTTAGGCAGGAGGAAGCTGAGTGTGAGTGGGGTGTTTCCAGAAGATCGAAGAGAAGATCGACAAAATGTTAAAGCCTTGCAAGGTTCAGAAGAATATCAACCTGACTATTAAGGACGGACTTAAGACTTTTCAGGATCTTGTCAGTGAGGCGAAGACAAAACACGCCCTAGCTAATAATGGAGATAGCAACCTTGATGGTGCTATAGGCTATGCGGAGGTAAACCGAGAAGAACGGAACAGAAAAAGAGAGCGACTCCATGAAAAGGGGATTCAGCGCGCTGTCACAGAGGCGCTGAAACGAAGAAAAATCTCTGGCAGTCCAGAGAGGACTGACGCCGAGGCGAAGAAGAAGGAGCACCTCTTGTCGAAAAGATTGCAAAGATGACGGTAACACCAAATCCTAAGGAAACCAGTAAGAAAAAAGCAACGAGTGGATCTACAATAGTGATCCGAGACGCAACAGGAATAACGAATGTCGACGTACTGAGCAAACTTTGGATGGAAGTGAATTCGATACGCAGGTCGTGGGTGCAAGGCTCCTGATCAAAATCGGAGGAGACTCCAATAAGGAGGAATTTGCCGCTGATGTCACCAAATCGGTAGGAAGCATGGGGAAGGTGCAGATCGTGGATCGACAGATCACACTGGAGATCCGCGACTTAAATTACCTTACCCAGGAAGAAGAGGTCCAGAAAACGTTGGCGGAAGTGCTCCAGAAGACAGGAAGCAAGAAAGTGACGGTCCTAGGAACCAACCGACGAGGAATGAATCACGAAGTTGTAATCACCGACCCAGAGGAAGCGAACAGGCTGGACAAATCGGGACGCATAAGGATTGGCTTTATGTATTGCCCAATAAAAAGAAGGATGATGGTTATTCGGTGCCACCGATCCCTGGCGTAAGACCACATAGAAAGAGTTTGTAAGGTAGCGGACAGATGGACTGCGTGCTACAAGTATGGTAAAGTCGATCACAAGTTTGCAAACTGCAGTAGAAGCCCAAGCTGCTTCTTATGTAAAGAAAAGTATAGCGATAAAGTGAACATCAGCCATGTCGTATCCAGTGAAGAATTCGGAGTCTTCACGGCTTTTGATGAGTTCAAGAAGACTCTCACACAACCAAAAAAAAATAGGCCAGAAAGATCAGTAACGGCAAGAGTCGCGAAAACAAGATCCCAGAGACCTTTACCTACAAAGTTTAAAGTTTGACGGCAGTTCTGTAGTGTGAGGATTACTCCAGCCAAAGGGTGTGGTTTTCAGTGGGTCAACCAGAACAAGAATGGTCATCCCCACATAACCTTTAGGTATCTGCCTTGGTTACCAAGGTTTATGCAGATTTTCCGCACTTCCCTCATAAAAAATCGTCCTTCATGAACCTAGTGAGTCCATCCGATTTAGTGCAACTTTTTTTAAAAAGAAAATTCTCTTAAAAATGCACTACAGAAGAAAATGATTGAAGTTGAACAATTTTAATAAATCCATTAACCATGTATAAGTCGGTGCTGAAATTCAATGACAGTTAAAATCGCATGTGCTTGAAATGCCAAAACTGAAGGTCAGGAAGGTTGAGAATTTATTATCACAAATATGTGTTTTAATTCAAAGGGCAGGCGCTCCCTTTTACACTGCTAGCTGTAGTGCTTTGAGAGGATTGAAATGACCATACTGCTATGTAAAATTGTCCACTTGGTATCAGGTTTCCCAAAGACACTCACAACTTGAATAACAGATGTTGGTGTGAGGATTCCAAAACAAACTAGGTTGCAACGAGACTTCATGTAAAGGGCAACAGCATTTGGGTTTCAAGTTTGTTTCAGAAGCTTCTGATCCCTAAAAACATTTTAGTAGATTTGTTGCTCTCGTACCATTAATGCAACCGCTACTACTACCATGCGTGTCCGTTGTATTTTTTTTTATACAACTGCTATTTTGTTATAGAGTCTCGCTATTTAATCTACAATTAAATTTTTGCAATGAGATAAGAATAATACTTTTTATTAGAAAATTTCTTATTAGAATAAATTAATTTAATTCGTTAATTTTTTTTCTATAATAAAAAATTACGCGAGTAGAAATACAATTACAGCCAATAGTTATTATTTAAAAATTGACATAATTTTGAAATTATTAATCTTGCGTTATGCATTGAATATTTTCATGTTGAATCTGGCAACGTGATGGAAATTTGTACTCCCAGAGGGGACGTTACCAGTGAAGCCGACCATCTTGCCAAGATAAACATAGAACTGCTTGCTCTGTGGTACTGACCCCATGTGAATAAACGTTCCTTCGTAAGCAATGACGGTTTCCACGAGTATACCGCAATTGGCATCAAATCTACTTCAGCAAACTTCATATGTCATGTAATTCAATCTGGTTTACGAGTTTAATTCTATGAAACTTAATATTTAATAGTAAATATTTAATTTTTAGAGTATTTAATTTCAACAGTTAAAACCAATACAGCATATATGTAAAAAAAAATAAGACTAATAAAGTTTTTGAGGATAAAGGAAACAACAATAGAAGATTACTTTCATACATAGCTGGGAAGGAAACGTTTAAAGAAGAAAGATGTTTAAAAATTAAAACAGCAGAAATAGAAAAAAAAAGTTGAATTGTAGTTTCCGGAGCAACAAACCGCATGGTATATAAAGATTTTTTTCAGCAAATTAAATTCTAGCAGGAAAGAATTTGTCGGACCTACAGATGAAAAGATTGCCAATATAAACAGAATAGGAAGAGGCGTCATAAAGTGGAATTTTAAAGAAGAGAGTTTCTACATTGAAATTTTGTACGTACAAACTTTTAGTACAAATTTATTTGTAAAAAATTGCTGCAAAATAAGGCAACAGGATTATTGACAATACTGGCGTATCGA